TATAGTGCTACATATGCTGCTCATATACTGCTTTGCACATAAGTCCATGATGTTGTACGCTTCTTATAATGTTGTTTTATGTTACTTGGGTATTGAGTGATTGGCTAAATTCATGAATGAATTTCATAAAATCTACCTCATGGTTTTCCTCAATTTCAACAGTTTATGAACAAAAAGACTTTTTTTTTTTAAATTCTGTGTTCTATATTTTCGTCTGATTAAAATCCGGGTAATCCTTTTTTGTGATTTAAGGTGTTGTAATCAAACCGAAATGAAATATCATGAACTATATTAAAATTTGCTTTAATTAGTTGTAATCTACGACAAGAAATATTAAAATCAACAAAATAAACAAAAGTGCGGCTATTTTAAGTTAAAAATGTAATTTTACATTAAGACCTAAGCGTAATCGTGACGCTGAGATCACCAGCAGGATCATTGCTGCGCCTGCGTCATTTAGACAGCTGTCTTTCAAGGTCTTCCGTTCACACGACCCAAAGTTGGCCACTCATATGTAGTCCTCCGAGGCAAAGTGTTTATACCGTCACCATATACGCAGTCTGGATCAATTCCACCTAACATCATGAAGATCAGATGGTCCAATCGGAAGCGTCATACTGAATTTTTAATTTTAAGACCAGCCAATGTCGGTGATATAGAGACACACTTAATACATTGATAATAGGGATGACGACTGGATAAAAAAAATGCAATTCTATTTAGTCCCTCAGTCTTAAAACATTAGATACGTATTTTTTTTACTTCAATTTAACTAGAAATAGCTTAGATAACAGCCATTAAAGTTGAGGAGTGGGGGCTCGCTACGTCACAGTTTTGTAGAAAACTTACATTAACGTGACGTCATGCGAAATTTCAACTCCATATATCGCCGTAATTTTATGATTACGAAAAAAATAAAAAAAATACGTGTTTAATATTTTTCAACACTCTACTTGACGGACAAGCAAATAAAAGTTAGTCGTCATCCCTTTTTCGGTGGTGCAGATTGTATCGCGTATGACGCAGAAGAGAGTGGTAAAGCAAATCATTTTTCTGAATTCGAAGGCAAGCAAAAACAGGGCGGACAACTTCTGAAGTACAAAGTTGTTAAGAAACCCCATGTCAAAAGTTGTAATATCCGTAATATAAGAGCTCTCTCAAAGAAAGTGTTTGGCAGCGCATCGTCTAGAATAGTATAGAACTGTGCATAGCCAAGTAAAGAGTTATGAGCAGAAAAGTCAAGCAGATCTTAACAATAGCCGTAACAAGATGAAAGCAGGGCCTCCTTCTTTATCTTAGTAGGGCACTTTTGCCAGAGTGGTCGTGGTTGCCTTAATAGATGGGGAACACGAAGATGGGCTCCTAAGATCTTCGTTGGTTTTCCCTAAAGCATCCCAAAGATACATGTCCACCTCTGCCGGTTAATAGCATCGCGAGTACACTGGACAATGATCTACCATTGTAGTAGCTCCCTTTATTAGCTCAGTCCAGTAAGTTGGTGATTTGCCGCGGTTTCTGTTGCCTTCCACTTTGCAATATACAAAAAGTCTTTTCATCGAACACAAATTTCTAGAGATATGACCAAAGATCTTTGGTATTCGGATGGAAACATTGGTGCGAAATGCTGTCCACGGCATGTTAAGGAGTCCAATAGTTTCTCTATATTAGGTAAGTATTTAAAAATTTGCGAAGATGTATAAAAACACAAGTATAAATAAAATACCATATAATTCAACTCATAATTCATATTATTATCACAATACATTTGCGCATGTTTATTTTACTGGCAGGAACTTAACTAACAATACGAGGGATGTTTCAGAGAGATACATATAAAAGATACATATAAATACAAAAATAATTTTGATACTCGTATTTCGAATGAAATAAAAAATTGTGATGAAGTCACTTTAATATACCCTCTTTATCACAAATAAGATTCGGTACAGATAAGTGTACTATGGTTATACGACCTCTAAAAAGGTGTGAGAGTAAATAACTTACGTCTCCGTGAACAACTCGTAATTCAACAAGCGGACATGTTAAATGTGACTTAATTTTTAAAGTAGGGATTTTGGGCAGAGCACCTCTTTCATGTTATACTTCAAAACCCTATAGCCAAATTACTTTCAAAATACAATAATACAATTTAAATAAAGTTTGAACATGAAATTCTGTAAATATACGTCATAATTTTTAGACCTTTTGACGCCCATTTACTCAATGGGTAACGTTTATATAATAAGTAGCTAAACTTTACTAGCCTTTTTTAATGTTACATAGTCTGAAACAAACCTCCATGGAAAAATTTACATTGCGGTGCATTTTTAATTTGTTCGACATAACTTTCTACATACAGAGAAATGATGCAATTTTCATGTCTTTTATAGTTTGGTCGACAGATTAATATGCAAAGCTATTAATTATACAGCCAATACAAAAATATACTTTGACAGTTTCACATGATAACGCTATAAAATAAATTGTTAATTATAATTTATAGCATATGGATTTTTACATTTTATCTTTAGCAAACTTTGAAGACTTGAGCACTACAACAATATATAGAAACTCATAAAAAATAAAGCACTGCTCAACAACATACAATAAATATACAAACATAAACACTTACTTTTTATTATTAAGAACACAACATGTATTTGTGCGATAACTTAAACAATGGATTCTTTAAAGCTGATTTGCTTGATCCTTACACCTTATTATAGAAGATACTTACTAGTTACAGAAAGAGAGAGAGAGATGGCTTAACTTGTTCCTTCTTCACGATATTGGCCATGGCGTAATGTAAACATTAAATAATAAACGGACTTTAAATGATCACTTTTTTATTCTCGCGTAAAAACTAAAGGACAGTCAACAACACATCATGGTATACAATTCATAGCACTAATTGATATAGAACTTTGATAAGACATCAATAGAGTTTGAAATGGGATATATTCTCATTTTATGGTAACCTTATGTGCTGCTGTATGTACAATCACGACCAACCATATTAACTGTTAGAATGGAATTTCGTTACCAAAAATTGTGCATAAGAATAATATTTTCTAAATATAAAATTATAAAGTAACAGTATACATACCGTAAATGCGTCAAAACTGTTATTCTAAGTATAAAATACTTTATAATAAGGCACGAAACAGGTCCAAAAATATACAAGGCATAATGATACTTATTACATACAATACATAGAACCTACCCGACAATACTATGGCATCGATAAATTGTGCATTCACTCAATATTCATTAAGTCAGCTAATATCGTCCATTGTTTTTACCAGTCTACAAAGATGGAGGTTTTTATTATGACTTGAAGACTAATTGTCTAACTTCTATCACTTGGTTTAGACAATTTCGAGTTACCGTCAAATAAACGTTATCACCACCAGCCCTTTTACGTCCCCACTACAGGGGCGCAGGCCTTCCTTATGGATGGCTAAGGAGGATGGGCCATGACCCTCCACGCTGGCCCAATGCGGATTGGAGCTCTACGCCACCGAGCTACTTTATCATTCATTCAAAATTTTAAACGAAAACGATCGCAATTGCGTCACGTGTCAAATACATACTTGTAGAGTGAAGTTCGTAAATATCTTTGAAATGACAAATTCAAGGTGATTGTTGTTATATGGTTGTTTAAAATTGAATACATATAAAAACGCCTCTTATTAATCGCAAAATACAACCATGATTGCGAAAACGCGTTATCGGAAAGTAGATAATAGTAATCATGTTTCCGGCTTAACCAATAATAGACCAATAATAAATATGTTTGGGTATCCTCTCATAGGATTAATCCCAACAATATGCAGATTTACCGTAAAAATATAGCCGATTAACCTGAATGAAAGATTTAGCTTCTGATAATGCTGGTGAGTTCTTTGCTAGTTCTTGTTATCAGCAAAAAGACGTCCTGAACGAGTTGTAAGTAAAAAATGTTGGATAATTCCAAAGTACTTTTAATAACTTTAGAAAAATTCAGTCGTATTTAGTCACTTTAAATGTTGTTAAACAAAGGAAATAGGACCTTATATATGGAACCACTAAAAAAATCTACTGATTAATCATTCAGTAAAGGTTAACATTTATAAACATAGGATTTCTAATCCAACCCAATAAATTCAGCGGATTGATTCCTAATAACCCTTGTATGTCCCTGGATATATCAATAACCTCATAGATATTTAATTCGTCAATATTAAATAAAGTTACAAAATAAATTTTTCAGATTTCATTTCAATCACACATTCTAATACTTTTTTGTCATAATAATTTTTTTATCCGTCTCGAAGGACCAAAATAGAGTGATTAATAAAATGAATACTTAAATTTACCTTTTTATAAATAAATAAAAGGTTTGAATTCCAATATGAGGATTTAATAATACTTTTGTTGACTCATGAGATCAGAAATGATTCATGATCTCATTGAAGCTTAATTGGTCAATCTATCCAAGCTGCTGTGTCGCTGTCTAATTGAATGTGTGTTAAATTTTAAGTGTCTAATTCAATTGATATAATGTAATGTTTGTTGAATCAGGGTGTGCATTTAAATTCAACTTTAAATCAAAAGAAGTGCAGTTCATTTTCTTTAAAAACCAAAAACCTTTAGTTCATATATTTAAAAACATTTAAAGAACATCGTAAATTATTAAACACGCGTTACAAATTAAAACGGCTTTATAGAGGAATGCTGATAAAATCGTGTGTTTTACAAAAATCCCGTGTAAATATGGAATTGGTAATACTGTGACAAATTTCCAATGGAAACAGATTAAGAGTGCGCATAATAGTAAAGGAAAAACGTAACAAAAAGCGAGGTTTTTCAATGAAATAGAGAGAGAGAGAGAAAGAGAGAGAGAGAGAGGGAGAAAGAGATAATAGCGTATGGTACGTAATAAGACGACAACAACAACATAATTTATAGAAGAAAATTTGATATCGTTGAATTCTAGAGTATCTGTTTTCCCAATGTCAATTCACTTATTAATATGATGTACTCAGTTTTAATATTATTGATGGTTTTCTTTATGCGCAATATAATACAAATTTCTGTATTTCTACATCAAATTGAAAGTTTAAAATACTTTAAATATTAAGTCTTGCACTTAAGGCACTAAGTTCTCAATGACCTAGGAATCGAAAAATACAAATGGTATATATAAAAATAATCTTAAAGCTAATAGGCTCAATGTGGAATACCTGATTATCAAATATGTCACATAGTTTTATTACAATTTTAACATTTCATTTCAGCATTCAAAAATAGACCCTAAACCTAATCCATATAAGTGCGCTTATCGAAACATTACAAAGCTGAACCGTTCCCATTCGCTGTACAACCACAACACCACAAAGGCGAGGGAGAGTAGTCCAAATTTTAATGTCTTTAAGGTTCACATGAACCTGTTGGTCCAGAAGACGTTGGCTAGAATGCCAGCGATCATGAGCGTGAAGTATATGACTACCGCCGCCCACCATAATCTCTTTTCCCATTTCCTCTTTTCGAGGTTTCGGAGAACACCGATTCCAACTAGTAAACCTGGAAATAGGTTAAAAAGAAATTTAATATAAAAAAACCTTCATTGCACAATATATGACAGCAAATCTGATTGCTTACCAAAGGTTAGAACGGTTATTGGTTGTCTAAAGCAAATTGACAATGACAGAAGGGAACATCGAACTGAGACGTGAGATCGAACTGACTTATTCTGTTCGGATAATGGTGTAAAAATTTGGTACTGATATATTATTCCTAATTTTGTAATAATACGGCATAGGTTTCCCATGATTTATCCTATTAATATTATAAAGGCGAAAGTTTGTAAGTATGGATGTATGGATGTTTGTTACTCTTTCACGAAAAAACTACTGGACGGATTTGGATAAAACTTTACAGCAATATAGGTTATACATCAGAATAACACATAGGGTACTTTTTACTGGGAAAACTTCTCACTCCCACGGGATACCGACTTCCACGCGGACGAAGTCGCGGGCGTCCACTAGTTATGTAATGTATAGATAAAGAACTATTTTCTGTAATTTACAAAGTTTATAGGCCGATGAGATTCGGAGATTAATTTTTGCTTATTTTTTAATTATGCGACATATTTTTATGTATCATCCAATTAAAAAAGAATCCTCCTACATGGTACCCACGTCTTAATTAATTGGCGTCACACTATAGTACATGTAATAGAAATTAATAAATTTAAACTATAGGGGCTTCAGAGCTAATCAATGAACTCTAGTAAATTAATCTTATTCGTGAAAAAAGTATTGTTTTCATACCAGCAATGGCACCAGCTAAATGCGCCACATAACCAATGTTCTGTGCTGTGTGACGCCAGTAACGATCATACACTGCCGTCCCCACGTCTACAGCTGCCAGCAGCAGAAACACTAGCAGCTGGATGATAGCGAACTCCATCTCTGCCCAGTTCTGAAATAAAATGGCAAAGGTCAGTATATCATCCGGCTCGAAGGACCAGAATAGGATATAAGCATTGGGCAATTTATAGGTATTGAATAAAAAATAGGGATATTTTTTTTGTTTTAGACCAGATTTTTTTTGTTCGATATTTTTAAGTAATTAGAGATGGAAGTAGGCAAGCTTGTCATTGCCATAGCATTTTTAATTGATGACTCAAAAACCATTCGGTGTGATCATAGTACAATTTCTCTATATCAAGCTACAAAGTGATTCATATATTTATCATTCGTCACTATAGATAACTAAATTAGTAAAATAAATGAATATTTATTTAATTTTATAAAAAATACAAAGAAAGCAATGTAAAGAAAACACAAACTTACCATAATGATAGTGGCTATATGTGCCGCGATTAATGCGTAGACGCCTCCTGATGCGCCCGCCAGATAAACTTTAGGATCCGTGAGGCTGGTGGCCAGAGAGCCCGCTACCACTCCAGCCAGATAAACCAGCGTCACACGCCACCATCGATGCACCATTTCCAGTGGTACGCCGAGGAATAGTTGTACCAGCAGATTAACCAGGAGATGGACAACTCTATAGAGGTACACGTACTACTTATTTTATTTAATTGTATTATATAATTCTCTTACGTAGGTGTAGAACGAAAGATTAGGTCACGAAGTTAGAACATAGAGGCAAATGTTAGTTTTGAGACTGATTCAACAACCCTAATGAAATGTTACTGTGGACTTCCATTCATTGTGCACGATGTCTGGGCAGAATTCAATGTTTTTCTTTTACATTCAATTTACAGTGGAACTACTCTACATAAGGTCGACTCAGCGTTGCAAAACCTACCGATTTTTCGGTAGATCTCCCGATATGAGCCCTCGTTTACCGAAATACCGATTACGAAGTTATATCTACCGATTTTTAAGTTTGCCACTGGTTTTTACCACAAAGAAACCAAATTCAATAATATTTTATTATTTCTAGCAACACCACTCTATTTTACTCTATGAACCCTACCCATAGTCTGTTTCAATCACACTTATTAACGAAATTATTAAGCTATCCTTTTCTCGCACGTGTTGTCATCTTGACGTCTTGCTTGGCGCTATGGGGATTCCCCAAGGTTATTCCCCATTGGGGAATAACCTTGTTTGACCGTATGCTACAAATACTATGAACAAAAATGGACGCTATTGATAGCGAAATAAGATTCATTTTACTAGAAGGGTTTGATAGGATCCAGTAAGGGAAATCCCCTGTAAATATGAAATTATTTCTTGTTTGAAAACATTTCTTATTCGATTCATTCATTCTCCTTAGGAAGATTGAGCGTGTTACAATATAGCGTATTAATTTTGTTGGGGCGAAGTTAATTTTATAATGTCTGAGGAAAGTTCAGATTCTAATGCTGGTGCATCGACTAGTACTGGTGTCAAGCGAAAGAAATATCAACAAAAATTTAAATAAGAGTGGGAGTTACGACAGGAGTTCTCTGCATGGTTGTCTCCACATTTATCAAAACCTACTTTTGCAATATGCAAATCTTGTAATAAGGAGATAAATATATCGTCGGGGTACGACGCTCTTAAAAAACATGCCAAATCTAAGCTTCACGAAAATAGTGTTAAGAGCTTAGCTGTTCAACCAAAATTGACAGACTTTGTCAGTAAAGAAGTTACTCAGTTTAAACATCAAGTGAAAGAAGGTAAGTGAGGTTTTAATTTTTTTTGCGCCAATTTAAAATAATAGAAATAAGGTATATTTTTTTTGTTTTCAACTTATTTATACCAAACAATAAGTTGTTAAATTAACAATTTCATTCATTTCAGGTGAAATCCGGATTGCTGGGTTTGTAGCTGAGCATAATCTTCCATATAATATTACTGATTATCTTTCTAAATTAGTTGTACAGATTTGTCCAGACTCTAAAGTTGCAAAAAGTTTAAAATGCTCACGTCCAAGAGTGCAGTCTATCGTCGAAAATGTCATCGGTGCAGAGAGTTTCGCAGAACTATGTGAAGATTTGCGTAATATTAAATTCTCGTTGGTTATTGATGAATCAACAGACTTATCAACGACAAAACATCTTTGCATGGTGGCAAGATATGTTAAAAATAATCAAGTACGTGATTCTTTTCTCGCGCTGATTCCCCTTTCTTCAGCAGATGCCACCACACTTTATGAAAGCATTGTAAAGTTTTTCATGGACAAAAATATTCCTTATAAAGATAACTTGATTGGATTTGCATCCGATGGTGCAAATATAATGATGGGACAAAGACATTCAGTGATCCCAAATTTATTCATCATGAAATGCATATGCCATTCGTTTCATTTATGCGCATCTTATGCTGGCGAGAAGATCCCTCGATTCGTTGAAGATTTAGTCCGGGATATTTACAATTACTTCGGTTCAAGTCCGAAAAGAACAAAAGAGTATGAAGAGTTTCAAATATTTTGCCAATTAAAAATTCACAAGATTTTACACCCTTGCCAGACGAGATGGTTATCGGTACATGCAGCTGTTAGTCGGATTCTAGAGCAATATCCTGCCCTGAAATTATATTTCATCGATGCTGCCGCCTCACAAAAGGAGTTGCTAATTGCCACAAATATTTTGCAGAAATTGAACGATCCGGTAACTCTTTTATTCCTTCAATTTTTAGATTTTGTTTTGCCAATCTTTAACCAACTGAACAAAGAAATGCAAGCGGAAGGTGCTAGAATTCACATTTTATACTCGCATGTGTGTGCATCCTTGAAAACTCTGTTAGACTGCTTTTTAAAGAGGTCTTACTTAAATGCAACTAACATTGAAGATGTGAACTTTAAAAATCCTCATAACTTTTTGGATATGCGTGAGATGTACTTTGGAGCAAAAGTTATGGATACTTTACTGAATGATAACAGTTTGACTGCAGATCAGTTGAATTTATTTCAAACAAGATGTCTACAGTTTTATATTGAAGCATCTGAGCAAATTATCCAAAGATTTCCCCTTAAAAACAACCCATTGAAAGACTTAAATATTTTGGCACCAGAAAATGTAAAAAAAGGAATTCACTCAAGTGTAATACCACTTTGTAGAGCATTTCCCGGACTCGTTGATGCGAAAGACTACCAGAACATTGATACACAGTGGCGCCTGCTTAGGAACACTCAAGAAATTAATGTGTTTAAAGATGATGCCGAAGATTTCTGGGCAAATGTGGCTCAAATGAAAGGCGGTGACGGTAAACCATTATTTGGACTAGTGACTTCATTCATTTTTAACATTTTTTCTTTACCGCACTCGTCTGCGAACGTGGAGAGAATTTTTTCTGCGGTAAATTTAATGAAAACCAAAAACCGCAACCGCCTGTCAACTGATGCTTTAGTTGGGCTTTTACACACTAAGAGACACATAGGCGGTAGAAACTGCTATGATTTTAATATACCTAAAACCATGTTCAGTAAACTTTCATCGCAAGGTTGGTATAACAAATAATCTTTTTTGGTTTAAGGTACATTAAGATCATAGCAGTTTTTATTTTATTGATATTATAATTTATTGGTACAAAATAAAATCTACCGAAAACTACCCAATTTTTACTGGCAACCCTACCGAATTTGTAATTCTTGGTTTTGCAACGCTGGGTCGACCGCGAATTGCCGATGTAAAACAAGTCTCATATCAAAACCATCTTATTAGCTCTGTCTTAATTTTACTTATTTTCTATTCTGGCTAACTGTCTGTACGGCACAGCAATTTTATGGCCTTTGAGACTTTGGAGGTCTGATCAGCAAGAGTCAATATGAAATTTTCTCCGTAAGTTTTACCAAGATCGTAAAAATTACATTATCCCAGCTCAATTTTGATAAATTAACGCATATTTATTCACGAGACAATGATCATACCGTTTTCAAATGACATTCCATCAAAGACTTCATTTGCAAATTTTTAGGATTGTTGTTAAAATAGCGCCAAAAGATATCGCGGATTCTCCATAACACGTAATATACTATGGAATTCAGATCGTTTCTTATACTTACCCGACATGTACCAGCATATAGGTGAGGAACCTCCACGCCTCCTCCCGCTTATGAGGATTGTATATGAAGATCTTTGCGATCGGGCCATTTGCGTCAGTGTGCCCCTGCGACGCGTCGTAGCAGAAGAGAACGATCTCGACCAGGGATATGAGGATCATGCAGACAGCAGGTGGCCAACAGCTATATTCCTCCTCGTAGGTGCCGTCTGTGTACGTAAACAATGCGTGGCTACGGGTGTGGGCTGGTAGACGTAACACAAACAAAGGTTTGGGCAAAGGGAAATCGGAGACAGGAATTTTGGGGGTCATTTGAATTGGCAGATGAAAATTGGTCCCAGTTTTCAGTTGGCCATTGAAGGATGTGGATGATATTTAAATTTTTGGGAAAATTGATAATTTATATGTATTTTTTAAAGTATGGATTGAATTAGATGACAACAATGGTAAACATGAATAGAGAACGGATTCACGCGATGGTCGAGTGGCCGGTAGAGGACGCATTAATCAATTAGACGGATGGTTTCGAAAGGGAAAATTGTCGTTAATTGGACAATGGAGACACGTTTTATTTGAATTGCAAAATTTCATAATGTGCATACGTTTGGAAATATATCAACGATCAAGAATGTTCGAAACGAAACGAAGTAATTTTTTTGAATCCAGTCAAATTTCGGTCAAAAAGAGGGTGAATTGATAATGTCATAATTACAGACGGAATTATTGGAATAAAAGGTTTATTTGACAGAGGATTGAGGACAAACACAAAACAACAATAGGAGGAGAGAAAAAAATAATAAGTTAGTAGTCTGCATGCATTGGTTGTTATTATAATATTTATAGAATGCGAGTTAGCTAATTAAAAAATCAATTAATGAGTTGAGTGGATAATGTGAAATAGTTAATATATTTATTGTTAAATTTTACATTAAATCTTGAATATGTTACAGAGTCCGATCAAAAGAAATTACTTTACAAAATTGTACACAATACACAAGTACTATCGTAATCTCTCGCTACTAATTTGACCCACAACCTTGAACTTGTTACTTAGACTTACTAACAATTTATGCAATGTCTGATCAGATGCGAGCGATATAAACGGATTGCACTATTCGCCTTGGTGATATCACATTAATATTTTGTTTCCCAAAATCACCTTGGAATTTCAGCTAGGCTAGATCATATCACCCAAACGTATAGTGGAAAAATTCCATAAGCATAATGACCTTAAAAATAAATGCAAATAACAATCTAAATACAGACATAAACAAAATTAATGGACATGCACAAGTGAAACATACCAAAATACTTGATGACATGCGAGAGGCACTTCAAAACTAGATTCCTTATCTTTAGTTTAAAACTAGGTTTGCACAACGCGTCTCGAGCGCTAGTTCTTTTTTTAAAAGTTTTATACCACATTAGTTACAATCACTTTCTCACTGGATTCCTTTGCCTATTTTGATGAGAACACATAGTTTTTTTTCTGTTGAATCGCGTAAGTTTTGGTACTACGTTATTTTATGAGTGAAGGTCTGTTACTGTTAGGACCAAGGCTGCAACCTTCTCGTGCGTGCGGTCAACTAATACTATGGAAACGGTTTCCCGCGCGATCGACTGACCGTCTGTCATTGCTTTGATGTAATCGTCGCGATGCGCTTACGCATCGTTGAACGAAAATGCAGTTAGCTTATCAGCATGTTTACATGAACTGATGAATTATCTACTTCAACTTTAACAAGCATAGTATATATTTATAACTTTTTTATTATGTAGAGTGTATTAATTCAAATTATATTTATAAATTTAAAAAATGTAATCGAATATTTTTTTTAAGAATTTGATTAAAATTTCCATAATATAAACTAAATAAGTAAATGTATTTGAACTTGAAAACTAATAGTAGTGGGCAAATAGTTAGCATATGTAAAAAATGGTTACCGGAAATAGAATACAAGCAAAAAAAAACTCGCTCTCGAAGTTTATTAGTTTGCACATTTTTAGCAACTTGTTAAAGAATTTAAAAGTCATGATAATTTATACTCAATTTTCCATGTATAGAAATGAAAATCAGCTTAGTGATGAATTTATCAAAATTATGTTATAACTGGGTCTAGGAATATTCAAATTAATAATTTAAGATTAGTTACACAAAATTCCTGATACTTAATTTATGAATGACCCCTAAAGAGCTTTACGTGATTCCAGGGGTAAATTTAGGGTTGTAAACTTCTTTAATATAAATAATAGTAATTTGTGAGGTATATTCAAAATTTTCCTTTTAAGCTTATAAATAATATCGTATTTCAATCATATAAGAAAACTTCGAAAATTCTTATTTCATAAATAAAAACTCTTTCGCTGGAATAATTTTAAATGACATGATCATCGAAAATAGAAAGGGATGAATCAACTACTTGACAACTGTGATTGACAATTTTTTTTTTGATATCAATAGGTATTGCATTTACAGTATTTCATGAGCGTTTTATAAAAAAGTTTTTACGATAGGATATTAGACTAAACCACAATGCAGCTTGGAGGAGATTAGCTAGTGTTAATAAAAAAGCTTTTGAATAAATTGACAAGCAATTATTTTTATTGTAGCTATAGTAAATACTTCGTGTGTTCTTAAGTTCTTGAGACAAACTTTTTACTGAAAAAGTAAAATAAAATGTTACTGGCTGTTATTTTATTTATCGATTTTGAATTTGGAATGTTAACTTTTAGTTTATTTATATCGCAAATTCGTTTGTTTATATTTTCTTGTGATGGAGGGAACGAAACAATTACGAACAACTGTCATTTCGCTATTTAAGGCAGGAAAAAAACCGTTACAGATTTTCCGCGAACTGAAGTTTTCCGTAACTTCGTAACACAATACAGCGGTACAAAGAGACAAGTTCTCTGCAAGATCGTCAAAGGAGTGGTCAGCTACGCTCTGTAAAGTTAAGTAAAGGTAAAGTTATCGTCTTCCTAAATTACGACGCGAACGTTGTCGATTGCTGCTGCGACATGATACCAGGAAGATACTCTTTACTGATGAGAAAATTTTTATTGTCGAAGAAAAGTTCAACCGAAAAAATAATAAAGTATACGCAAAAAGTAGTAAAGGATGTCCCTGCTTCTGCACGGAATGTCTTGCGCACTCATCTTCCACCTAGTGTGATGGTATGGTGGGGAGTTTCGTATGAAGGTGTCACTCCGTTCCATTTTTGTCAAGGTGAAAGCCGAGAATTATCAGAGAGAAATCCCTCTGATGCGTTATTTCACAATAAAGATTGGATTTTTCAGCAAGACTCAGCGCTATCCCATAAGGCAAAAAGCACCCAAGTTTGGTTGAGGGAGAATGTGCCGGCTTTCTTCGCGGCGGACTAGCGGCCCTCCTCCAGCCCCGACCTCAACCCGCTGGATTATTCTTTATGGACTGAATTAGAACTCAGGGCCTGCCGAAAGTTCCACCCAAACTTGAGAGTCACTGAAGCGAACCCTTGTTCAAGAAGCAAAGCGAATTTCGCTAGAAAAGATTCGTGCCGCCATTGATGACTGACCAAAACGTTTAAGGGCCTGTATTAAAAACAAGGTGTATATTTTATTGTTGAATATTATCTATTTAATAGTTGCTGAAAATTTAAGAAATGTAATTTAATGATTGAAAAAGTTACGCAACTTTTATTTCGTCTCAAAAATTATGAACACACGAGGTACAATAATCATGAAATCCATGAAAACATAGCCATGTATAGGTAGTATGAAATAATGAACAATTTTGTAATGTCACTTGACCTTTGTCTTTTATTAAAAAAATTACTAGAGATTGAAATGTTAATATATATCTGTAATGTGATCGACCTTCCATAATATATCTTGTTAACCGTTTAACGAACCACAAATTGAATGTTGCCCTTTGACACGAATTGTTCTTTGCATACAAATATGATCAAATTATAGGATGGTTAATATTTGTCATACACGACTTAAAAGTAAGTAGGTACTTGTAATAGATACTTGTAAGGCTGACATTGCCGTTCCGAGCAAAAGTAATACTCACCCCTCATATTTATCGTAACGTAGTGGGCAATTTGCCAGCTCAAAATACTCTTTTTTTTAATAAAACTGAATTTAAGAAATTGTTTTAGCATTATTAATTTGCTGCTGGTTTTTTTTTAATTTATTTACGATTCGTATGTCAAGTGTATATTGATAGTAGTATTATTTATAAAATGTTGTATCCACCATGCATTGCTTTAATAAATTAAAAATAAATTTATATTCATGGAATTCGTTGATTGAGTGAACGCGTTTTCTAGTCACAATATTAGAATAAGGAAATACCATAGTATTATTTCTGACGTGGAAACTGGAAATAACCACTTTACATAAAAACGTTATTATCACCAAACAATCAACATCTCTATTGCATGTCATTTATGCAAGGCGAAGTTTTCCTAATACATTTTTAAAAGATATGAGTGGTGCAAGCATTCGTAGATTTGTCATATAATATTTTCGCCAGCGGCTTCGCTCGCGTTTTTTTTTCCATTTCTGCAACATTTTTCATTGCAGCTCCTCTGCTATTAGTCACAGCGTAATGTTATATAGCCTATAGCCATCCTCAATACACGTATAGAAAACGCGAAAATATTTTTTCAATTAAACCAGTAGTTTTTAAGATTAGCATATTCAACCAAACAAATTCCTCAGCTTTATAATATGTATTAGCTGAAACCTATCACGGTTCCTTTGGCTAGTCTATGTTACCATTAGATTTTTTTTATAAAAAGACATAATAAAAAGATGCCGTTGTTTAATAATAACAGGTATTTACTATTTTTTTATTTATTTTTGCGTAGCTACAGATGTTATTGTTGCATTTTAATTATATTATAGATAAGGTACCATTTATTGTTAATAAATATTTCTAAATACTAATAACTGGAAAATGAATAATACATCCAAACATATTTTCAACCCTTATTTCAATCCTTTAGGGATTAAATTATGAAATACCCTTAGTAATAATTTACAGTATGTTCTAAATCACGAGAGTTATTAGTCTTAGTATTAGGACTGGCTTTGCTTTTCATCTTTATAAACAATGAAAATAAATAAACATTCAAATGGTACAACAATTTAATCACAAGAAATAAAAAACTAAGTTTGGATACAAATCTATATCAACAATAATAATAAAATCTGCGATGATATTTACATTATGCATGAACATCAAAAGCTATAATTACATTATCACAACAACAAAAACTCGAGTAAAATAATTTTGTGTTAGATGGTGAACAGAAAAAATAGAGAAACAACTATTATAATGGGCTACATTCTGGCAATGGTAATGAAAAGTCAAAGAATTTTGAACATTCGAGTTATGAATCATTCGCTGTTTAGTTCTTTCTTTCAAAATTAGAGTTAACATACATATAGCGAATGCAGTCCAAATACGTCGATTAGATTAAACAATATGCGATATCGCACGCGATCGAAGTCTGTTTACTGAGAGAAAAATTAATAATTTAATACTTTATTAGATTTCGTGTATCCATCGAAATTAAAAAATAATAATATAAAAGAATCAGAATTTTTGGTCACGATGACCATCCCGTCTGTTATATATAACGGAGACTAAAGTTAGTATTTGGATCAATTCAATTCAAATTCTACATTATTGGCTCTTCCATGATTTAGACAATATCAAGTTTAAGGTAGCAATGGTGTTTATTATATTTCGGTTTAACTCCGCTTGTTATATAGTAATCCATTGGCTGCCTAAAAAATAATTGGTAATAACAGAAGAGAAAACGTCCAATTGAGACGTGTTGACTTATTTTGGTCAGATAATGGTTTAAACCTGGTACTAATGTTAGCCGTTGTTTTGTTGTAAGACAGTATTTCGTGGATCTACCTAAAAATCAAGTCACCGATTGCAACAGAATGGAGCCCATAATTAATTACGTTAATAAAAGAAAATTAATCGGCGACACACAAAACACTTATTTACCCACATGGAAGAAAATTGGTTTGTGTTGAAGCGATGTTGGGTAGGTTACTAGCAGGGGGAATACCCCGCTCGTTGTTCAGCATCAATCGATTTATTTGTACAGTTCGAATTCTTCTCTCTGGCCATATAAAAAAGTGCAAGTTATAGTACTGTACCCACTCGCAAATATATTCGCATTAATTATAGGGAGCACGAAGCTCGATTTTGTTAATATTATATCTAAAAAAAAAGAAATTCTTCAAACTAAATGAATTATCAAAATACACTTTGGTTTATTTTATTCAAGATTGTATTAGTTGTAGAATCGTTTTAAACTAGTCAATATTATGTTTTTTTTTATCCAAAGATTTCAAAATTCCTGATTCTATTTCTAACTAAATGCTTGATCATATTTTAAATTTAAAAAAAAAAATTTATCAAGTACATTCTCCTCGATTCATTAATTATCTAAGATTGGGTTTGTATACGTTATGCTTTATTTAGGATATAGGTTAATCACTGTTTGAGCGCCTGATTAGTTACCTACACGTATATAAGCCTCGTGACACTTTGCTATAAACAATTTAGAAGTGAAACGGAATGGACGTTTTGGATATTAGTTTGAAGGTTACCATATAAATACACAGTTCAGATAAGATAAGGAATCGTATTGATATGTTTATTTTAGTGATATTCGGCATAAGCTATTGTGAAAAACTGTTAAACTCCAAGGAGTGTGTAGCTAACGGATTTGTTTAAGGTATTATGGACACCACACCGAGTACCCAATACGCAATATATGATTCTAGTAAAATACATTAAGTATAATTTAAATCTCTTTTATCTAGCTAGTAGGTCCACGTCTTAATATTTTCCGAGAACGATCGACAAATAAGACAATGGCTCCGTAACTTTTCATGATTTTTAACCCTAAAACTGAAGATCCCAATAAGTCCATGGTTCATCATCGAACAAGCTAATCGTCATAGAACAAAGCAATAATATTATCGTGATACTTTCGCTTAAATCTGATCCACATTGAGATAATTTGTTTTTAAATTTGGATTCATTTATATTATTCATTTACATAAACTTGGATTATTGGATTCATAACTTTCATTCCCGCCGTGTTCCATTGAGTTAAAGTATGTTATTTTTAAAATGAAACCCAGAGGTTTTTTAGGATTTGTGGTAAAATGTCATATATGTATAATCTGGACATTATTAGACGTTAAACGCCGATAGTCACGTATTAATCACTTATACCGTGATAACACTGTCTCGACAAAGAGCGTGTGGTTATGTGGTGATCGTGTTCGAATATTGAATCACCATTGCACAAGACAAACAAAAAGGACTCACATTTTAATAAATTGTAATAGGGAATATGCGTCTGATTCAAAAAAGGGTTCAAAATATTTTATTACAATCGTTATTGCTTGAGAATAAAGTCTATCTAAATATTTTTCAACATTAGTTCGTTTTCGTCTTGAAAATAATTATTAAAAAGTGCAAAATTAATGCGGTAACTTCAAAATATTTAAACGCCATGCCACTTGTCAGAGCGGATATGACGAAAATGTTCACGTATAGGGATGTCGTTGTTACAAAAAGTTAACATCGATGCAATAACATCAATGTATTGTGTCGCAAAATAAACAACTGATTTCAATTTAAATGATGTTTTAGCCTTTTATTTTTATTTCACCAATTTGGTAAATTATATGATTTATTAAAAAAGTCTATTATACTTTAAAAAATCGATTAATTGCTAATCGATTTGGGTAATTGAATAATAATCAATCACTCAAAATCGATATTGATTTAAAATGTCATATCTCTATAGTCGTGTACTTTGACGTCACGACGAGCGCGCCAACAATTCCGGTGTTTAAACTGCTCGTAGCTATTACTTATTTTCATCAATGATTAATGTTACAAAATTTTAGTTTTTCGGTGCCGGGTATTTTTTTACAGTTATTTATCGATGTAAATTATCACATAAAAAACATTTTCCAAAAATGTGCATATTCCCTATTAACTCAATGGCGCGTTTGGACTGCAGTTCCGAACGAAGAAAAAGCGATTTTCTGAGATTTGCACTAGTTTCTCAATTGATATGTGATATGTCAAAATAAATGATATGACGCTAGCCTATAACCATGGCTAACTCAACAGCTTAGCCCCATGACAGCACGGACAAGCTACTGATGAAAATGTACCCAAGGACATGATGAATAAGCCCTATAATGAGTTTCATGAAAATATAGTAAATAAAAAAAAAGTACCGCCGTCACTCGTAGATACCGCGTGGAAACCTGGCCACCTTCCTAGCAAACAAAATTAGTTTTTATGGCACAGAACACAAGGTACATAGTGTTAATTTATGCACATTTAATATTTACATGCTTCTAACTTTACATATCATTCGCATTCTCAATACAAATACTACACTACTATTAATAAGTATTAAATAGTACATACAATATAATATTGGAAAGTAAGTAATCGTGGGTTGAAGAGTGTAAAGGACATTTAAGTTAATTTTTTTATATGTCAAAATGTCTTTTTTTAGTATCAGGAATTGCATAGTAATCAATTATGCGGGTCTACAAAAACTTGTTATGACCAAAGATTCAGAACATCAAAACTAATAGAAATAGAAATCCTAAGAAAAATAAGTCAAATGAAATGAGACTCAAGTTGATGGAAACGAAAGTGCCTATCTTATAATAAGAATTAGTAGATAAAATATTTTTATGAATTGGGCCATGGGTAGTTTTTATATGTATGTACAGTATTGCATTTGATAGTATAAAATCTTGAAGCTAAATAATAAACAAATGAATTTATCTCATTGGCTGAACCTCGACCTTATTTGTAGCTCAAAATTGTCTTTTTTACCATTATACGGGCTTCTTTACCATCTACTCTGCCTGGATATAGGAATGTTTTGATTTCTTTTAGTGCGAGCAGACAATTTTTTTAAGTAATGTTGGCGATATATAACTTATCAGTTAACTGTTCAGTTAATCAAGAAAATGTTCACATAGCTAGAATAGTAATTGCTTAATTAATAATTCGCTGTTTATGAAACAATATTTAATAATCAACCGTACGTGTAGTTTTCTATCACTTCCGCATTTTTCCCGATGCGCTACGAGTATTACGATAATTATAAAAACCTGTTTTAGCTGTTTGTATAACATAAACATTGCTTCATGCTATTTGTGTCTTAAATTTGTTATTTTTAAATTGTAAAATACTATTACTTATTTTGTTTTTACTTTTACATATTCGCTGATCAAAAAAGAATATTCTTTGTGGAGACTAAAGTGAGTTATTGAGAAATAATTTGTAACAAGTTGCAAATAAGATTATACCTTATTTAATTTTATCTCAATATATTTTAGATTTTTCCCACCCCAAAGCCGCCATTTTTAAATTAAGAAAATCGTCTCAAAACTCCAACAAGTTTTCAATATATTTTTAATGAGGTTTGATGGAAGAAAATGAGGTTCAACCATTGAGTCAAAAAGGTTTTGAATCAAGCAACTAATCTACAAGTTACACGAGAACAGGCACATTTCATGCGTTACCTGTAGCATCAACTGGATCTCGATGGGGTATGATGGAATGAACATATCTGGCAACGAAATGTCCGAATACCGCTTTGAGATCAGGATGATGCATCATATCCACAAACTCTTTGAAGTCCAGGTACCCCGAGTTGTCTCTGTCAGCGAGGTTCATGATCTTATCCACCACATTATCGGGTAAGTCATGGTCGTACTCCCTCGACTCAATGATGTGTTTGAGCTCCACGTAGGAGATCTTGCCGTCATTGTCTTTATCGTACTGAAAAGGAAAGATTATGTTTTGAGTAAATATAAACAGTAATTTAAAAACCTTTGTAAAGCTTCTTTCATGTTATTAAAAAAAGCGATAATGTTATGTATCAGAACATCGGTAACCAAGGAATATTAAATTTCCGCAATCAATTTTGAACCAGATCTTCTAAACGTGAAGGTTTAAAGCCTATTGAATAGGGAGAATAGACTTTTCATTTCATTTCAGACAATGACCCACCAACGCGGCCCGCTTGCCTTAATGACTGATGATCCAGATGGTACTAACGGATTAGCGGGCATAAATTATTGGTCACCCATAGTATGACATAACCTTGCGAAAATTGCTTAACTTCCGCATCGTAGTCCGAACGCATTCACCAATGCACCATTGAGTATCTCCATATATGAGGATATTAATGTAAACATAAATCTTAGCTTACATAAGTCCGTTATTTGCCAAGCTATCAACAATACATTACGATAATAAAGAACCTGTCACCTAGGAAATATGCGTCGAACTCTAACCATTGTCTTATCATTTTATTATAAGTATTAATACCGAACGTGTAATCGGCAGTGAGCAATTTCTTAAATATTTGGCCGACACACTCATGTTTGCTTTACTCAAATCGCGAGCTTAAGGTACATTTTTATTAAGAAATATACAATTTGCATTTAGCTTCTAATGAAAAGCAGTAAATAACATAATACTGCCGAGCCACAGCCAAAGCCTTCCCTATAGATAGAATCGAATTTGTGAGGATTTGTGGGTGTTAACGACGAAGCAACCGCGGCCATCGGCTTTACGTGCATTTCGAAGCACGAAGTTCGAGATAATAAACTCTTGGTCATCCTATGACCGATCGATTTTGAAAGCTGCTTAATTTCCGCAGTGCAGAGTTGCAAACAGATCCGCCAACTAATGCGCCATCGAGCTCCTCAATGGAAATGTACCTTTAGATAAATAAAAGTCGCCCACAGAGTTTGTTCAATGGTTAGTTCTAATTCACTAATTATGCGTCACTACGCCCAGTTGTAAATTTTAACTGTATCGGTCATACACCAATATTTTACAGTTAAAATGTATCTTATCTGAACGGTTTATTCTAAGAAAGTTGATTTCACAATTTTTGTTATTAACTTAAAACCTTCTAGATTTCATTATTACTTCAGAGTCTTTTGAGAACAAATCTTCAATTTTTTTCATTATTAACATTTTTGAAAACCATTTAATGCAACTATGAAAGACGTTTTGCATTTTTTCCAAAACTATAAGAGGGTGAGAGGTATTTTTTTTTTTGGTAACAAGCAAAACTTTTTACTTTTATAGCTAAATGATTTAGACTTTTTTTTTTTTATTATTTGTCCAAAATATGAAGACAGGATCACTCACGAAATTTTTACTTAGTTGAAAATTGATATACATACTGCAATTCTTTATTGATTAAGTATCAATGCAGAACAAACATCAACCATTTGGATCTATTGTGAAAAAAAACGGGCAAAGTATAAAAGCAAAAATAAGATATGTATAGTCTATTCAACTTCCTCTGAGTTGTTGAAACAAATCAATGTTTCTCAAACTTTTTTATTGATGTTGGTATGTAAATAAAACTTGTTAATTGTATGGTAGCACAAATTATTGTATGGTAGGTATGCAATACAATAAGTCTATTTCTTTTACAAATAGCAATTGTAAGAGTCACATAATATTATTCAGAATCTTCCTCGTCTTCCTCTGAGGAACTAGTCGCACCAACTTCTATCACAATACGGTCAACCAAATCATCTATGATACCATTAATTTTTTAAAAATGTTGTTCTTCTTTTATGACATGGTCAATGTACTTTAGCACAGTTCCTACTGTTACCCTTTTTAGAGCATCGGTTAAAAAAGATTTTATTTCATTTAACTTAAAACTTAGCAATAACAGAAAACAACAAACTTAACAACTGGAATAAACAAATAACAAGAATTTAACGAAAGCATTTTGCACGAGTCAACGAGTTGATCGAGAGTAAAAATGGCCGGTATAACCCGACTAATTACAAAATTTCACGTTTCTACGTAAAGTATTTGTCTTATCACTACTCCTCAATTTAGTAGAATTATAATACGTGTAATGTTTGGGAACAGCTTTAATTTTAGGTATTTTTAATGTCACTTTCTTTTTTAATTAATTCTAAATGCATTTATATTTGGACATATTAAAGAACCTTTTTCCAGTTTGTTTACATTTTGTCTCAGAGGAAGATGAATAGACTATAGCAATCTTATTTTTTTGAGTTTATGCGAAACAAAAAAATTAAGAAAACGAATTACTCTATTCAATAAATAAATATTCAACCAAAAACTATAAAGGTAACATCAAACGGACGCTTCAATCTTATCCCGTGATTAATTTTGTTTACAACGGGTTTTTAACGGGCTAAATGAATTTCATACAACTCTCATTGAGTCAATGAGTATTATTTCGCCTGCGAAAAGATAAGAATTTTGATTTCTTGAGAAGTTTATTTATAGATTGTATGTAACTGTACTAGCTAGTGAAATGAGACGTGACGCTGCCCAATAGTTTTGAGAGTGTTCGTGTCAACAAACTATGGATATATTGAGCAGAATAAAAAGGTGATAAGTGCTAAAACATTTTTATTTAATAACTCGCAAACTATTGCGATTATTACAAAATATTTTCATATTCGCCTCGGCTACAAAGTGGCTCAGATATTTATCAATTTTCCCTATAAAGAAGAGTAAAAAGACGAGAAGAATACAAATAATGGTGAATTTTCTATCGAGAAAATTTTATAATTTCATGTTTTGGCAATTACAAATATTATGTAGTTTTGTCATATTTATAACAACTTATTAGGACGTTATTTCTTCGTACAAATACTATTTAAAGTTACTCATTTATAGTGGAAGCGTCCTCTTAAGGGATTGTTCAGATCTATACCAAAAGTTTCGTCAGCTGCTGACTGTTTGTATGAACAATGTCTAAAATAATAGGTATTAACAGCTCAGTAGTTCTTGCTATTTTGATAAAATGAAATTATTTTTGGTAACTTATTTCGATGGTGACCAACAAACATCAAATGATCACCATACTGGCCAGCCCATGTGGTCAAAACCATTAGAAGGTACTGAAACCATGCTGAAAATTGGTACATTTTTTTTCAATATAGGTTCATGCTGCATACCCTACCACAAATCACTGCGCACGCCCCTGATTAGAAATAATAAATACCGAACTCTCTCATTTATCTAGGCTGGCAATACTCTTGAATTTACTTATAAAATTAGCGCGCATTTTTAAACTTTCGTAGACGGTTTGAGTGCAGTCTAAAATCTTAAAAAACTATTTATGTATTGTAATTGCGGCCCGTATTAATATACTTGCGGGTCGAGTGCGGCCCGATAGCGGGAACTTTAATATAACTGCTTTAATCCTTCTCACCTTTCAAAAGCCTTTAGCGTCAATCCCTTAAAGAAAATATTCCAGTCTTTATTTCAATAATACCTCAAGAATCTTTCTTGGTGAACATATAACAATACTCTTCGTTTCTTCGTAGGTAATTAGATTACTAACATAAAGCTTTCAGAATCTATTTTAGCTAGATAGGGACTTCCCAAGAAATGTCATGGAGAAGCATTAAAAATTAGGCGTTAGTCATCGCTTTGATGAAAAGATGGCTGCCAATTGTGTTACTAAGAATAAGTGTTTCGCCCGTTAAAGTGGTGTACATTGGCATGAGTCAGCCGGGAAAACAATCTTGTTACCATATTGTGGTTCCGATTATACTTTTCGGATTACAATTATACTTTTCTAAAAAGTTAGGCATCTTTCGTAATGGTGGTGGGTTACAAAATTTTTTTCATCTCGAGCTCTTCAGCGCTTCGGACGGCACGTTGCCGTTGGTCCTGTCTGCTTTTGCAGTCGTAAACACTTACAATCCGAATTAGGCCCGCGTGGTGGATCATTCTACATTCTCCCAGCAGTGGGGACATTAAAAGGCTGATGATGAGTGATGAAAATACAAGGGTACCCAAACTCTTCTTTCTAGTTCCATTTACAAATAATCCTTTAAATTTGCGTAATCGATGAATAGTTGAGTGCCCATACTATAATACGTGGGACGCACTAAATGTTTCTGGAATTAATAATAAATACCAAATGAATTTATTAATTCTCAAGATATTCTCCCTTTGCGGCAATGCACTTTTTCGTACGATTAAACCATTTTCGAAAATATTTTTGCTACTCCTTCGTGGTGACGTCAGAGTTTTCATACACTTCGACAGCTTCTACTGGTAATGAAACCGTTGATCGCGTAATTGGTTCTTGATTGTTGGGAATAGAAAATGACAGATCGGTAATGTAGGCTGGATGACACTTAATTGTAGGTACATTTTTCGTCTTCGAAAACTCATTTGTCTGTCTATCTGTTTATGAACTAGTGTTATCGTGGTGCATAATCGAAAACTTCGTTAGTTACCTCTAGGTTATGAACATTAATTTCAAATGAAAGTTTTAATTTATTAACCACACAGTTATTATTTCTTTTATATCCTGTTTTGCGGGCGATTTATATTATATGCAGTGATATATTAAAATAGGTAGCCTTCATAGTGATAGGAGGATACAGTATATAGTGATTAAGTTCCTTTGGAAAAACCCTTGTCAAGGATATGAGATTAATAAAGCTCGAAATATGATTATATTTCTTTAATGCATTTGAACATAATAACAGCAACAGAAAACTGAAATAAATGTAAGTTAAAACTAGATTTCTTTTAATAACCGATTTGACGCCAAAATTGAAGTAAATTTGAGAATGAACTCTGTAAGAAAAAAAAAGTCCATAAACTAAAACCCGACTACAACTTAATCACGTTCTAAAAAGTTTGAGGCAAGAAATTTATTTAATAGCGATAGCTGTAGGTTTTAGTTTTCAACTTATTGTTTTATTGAATTACTTCGAGTGTATTTAACCAAAATCGCAAGCCAAAAGCTAATTAAGCCCTTTCATTTGATACCATACACGGAATGATTGAATAATATATTTTTTAATTTTCTACTTTATGCTCTCTAGAGGGCGCTGTTACCAAATTAATGTAACGTCATAGTAAACGTCAAGGTAGCGGTTTTCTTCTTCTTATTTACTTTAATGACACTTTGCGTCACCACATTACTGCTAACTTCACGTAGGAGACCATTATACGATTAAAATACATTCATTCAACAAAACAATTTTGAATTACCAATTCTATGTTTCTACATAGATTTACAAAAAATAAGACGTTAAACGATTTTAATACGTTAATTAAGAAATAATTTTATACAAACAATGATTTAAACATAATCTCAAACCAGCGAGTTTGAGGGTCTTATGTATGTCAATAAATTGTGAGTGAATATTGAAAATTAGTGATAAACACAAAGTATAATTAGTGACACTGTTGATAAAGAGATATTGGAATATCTTACTGTGCCTGCTAACAAGACGTCCAGGTAGCAGGCACACTAGAAATACGATTCGTATTAGTTTGAATTACATGTCGAAAAATTGTGACTAATTAGTGACTTCTATACGATGAACTTTCAAAGTAACAAGAGCTTGAAAAATTCGTCAGTCCTGTTAGGTCCTGGGTAGCTCAGTGGTTAGAGCAGTCGCCCGGATTGCAAAAGATCACAATCAATTTATAAATACGTTCAGAATTAAATTTACGATTATTATAATGACAAAAATACTACAATTTTATCACTAATGGTTTTCTTATAAGTTTATTTAATAATATAAATAACTAGCTTTCCGCCAGCGGTTTCGCCGGGGTTTTGTATTATACATACAAACCTTCGTTTTGAATGACCGCATCAAAATCCGATGTGTAGTTTTAAAGATCTAAGCATACATAGGGGCAGACGACGAAAAGCGATTTTGTTTTATGCTATGTATTACGGTTGTTCCGTATTCATCTTATGAACTCTCACCGTACGGATTATTTTATCCTTGCTCGTCCTATTTATATTCTTTATTCAATCCACCGCAATTTATTTAATTTTAAATTCCTTCTTCAGAGCTCATCCTTTTTTAAAATCACCTAAAAATGTAAGATTTCCAAAAATTTTAAGATAATAATAATTCGCCACTATTTATTTACTCACGATTTAATGACACACATAAGACCCTCAAACTCGTTGAGGTGCCTGCCACCTCGAAGTTCACCATCACATAGCCTATAGCACGCGGACAACTAAGACGCTACTTATGATAATTTGTCCAGATACGATAAGTAGTTTCGATGTTATAAGGGAACAGATCAACATCCTTAACATACATACATTCCGGCCAAAATCATAAGCCTTCTTTGCACTTCACCATAGTCGTGTAAAAAAAGATATAAGTTTTGCTGAGGGTGCTTTTTTTAAATCTTAGCATATTACGACAGATAATAAGGAACTTACTATGCTTATCTTGGTAGTTACTAAAGTTGCTTTTTTTTATTGGGGAAATACCAAAGTTATATTTCCATACTATATTATACAATTATAATAAAGGCTGCCACAGTGGTTTGTTAGCAACGTGATTCACAAAATGGACCATGTCATTCACTCAACATTGATCTATAGCATTTAGGAAAATACTATTGAGCTGAATACGATTATAAAAATAAATAATAAACCATTGGGATCGGGGTATCAGGTTGGCTGTGGCATTTTGCCCAGATTTATATTTTTATGAAAACAAATGTTGTATTGGTAAATACCAACATTTACTTAATGTTACATTATTAATTTGAAGACCTCCATGGACAAGTGGTTTATACAGTTTCAAGTTATAACCATCTCTGAGATCCATAGTTTGATTCCCAAAGGGGAATCGACCAGATAATGAGATTATACTTCCCTTTCCATATTATTTTTTAACTGACTGCGTAGAAGCGAAAAGGAGGGTTATGATTTTGGCCGGTATGTATGTAGGAATGTTCATCTGTTCCCTTATACAGTAGTGGCCATACAATTAAGAATGCTCCCTTGAAAATAGTATATTTACTTAAAAAACATATACCTAGCTTGTTGTATTTATACTTTTTTTATTATTGAGGTACACCAAAATCTATCTACATTTTTGGTTCTTTCTTCTATACATTAGATTTAATAAACCACAAATAAAAAAAAGTATAAATTACACAAACGTAAAATCTAATCCAAGAATAACTTCTTACTGGCTGGTCATATAATTAAGAAGACAAACTATTAAATTTTTATTTAAATTTAAAGAACGAACACTCTATGGTTATCCTATTTTCTCATAAAACTGTCGCCATTTAGTAGTGTAAACACAATTGGAACGAAATTTTTCAAAATAATAATGGGAAAACATAAAAGGTACGACCAATCTACAAGATTGTATTAAAACTTCGGGAAAAGAATTGGTCTTATAAAAAAATACCTGACCATCTACAATGTTCGAAAACCATGATCTTCAAAGCTGTGAAACATTTTAAAACTTATAACAGTACTTTAAATATTCCGCTCATGCCACAACCGAGAAAAACATCTCTTCAAGACGACAGAATTTTCATGACATTAAGTATGCAGGGGTTTTCAGAGGCGACAAATCGATTTAGTTAGGTTCGACTTTTTATTTTATAAAAGTGCTAAATAAAGCTTAGTCATCCAGATACCAATCTTTTAAGAAACTAAACTTTGACGTATCTAATCAAATACGAAATTAAATAAACAACCAGTCTTTTCTGACAAAATTACAAAAACCAGCCACTTGAGAAGACCCTTTCGAAAACACAAGTACTGTTAAAAGTGTAAAACTTCTTCTTTTAACCCCCGGACTCGCATAAATTCGCGCTGCCGCACTTAGAATAAATCCTTTTAATAAGTACAATCTCTCTAAATTCGCGAGATCTCACCCATTTTTCGACCGAAATCAATCTCGCTAAAAACGCCTAGTTCTCGCGAGAACGACATTGCATTTGCTACTGGTGGTGGTTAGGTTTTGTTAAACCACTATTAGGCTCCAGCCTCTCACAAACTGTACAATGGTCAGCTAGAAATCTGTATAAATAGTTTGTGAAAGAAATAAACAAACAATTATTATAATCATCAAAATTATAGCATCATAATTAGAGATACCAAATAATATTCGGTTTAAGTTTAACCGAACTGGATATTCGGACAAATTATTCAGTTTACCATTTCATTATTTCTATTTAGCCAGGGTGTTTCATGGTGCTCCTAGTAGTGTGTACAGCTAACAATACTTTAACAAAGTATATGAAGAAAATGTAAGACTTGCCGAAGAGGGCAGAGAGCTTGGTATATTTACACCATAACTTACCATTAATAAATTATAAATATTAGATTATGTTGTTTTTTTTTGCATATCTTTGACTTTATCTGGACAGTACTATATTTTTGTCTTTATATATCTCTGATATAGAGTCTATTTTTTGAAAATTTCTCTGTTTAAGATATTCATCAACAAATGAAAATGTCAATTCAGATTTGACATTTTCAATATGTTGACTATGTTTATAAAATAAATATTTATGATTTCATAAGATTTTTTAACTTAATATAACATAAATCTTACAAAAGAAGTTTTGTCATTTAATTCAAATGTATTTTAATAAAAAATTGTGGTATACTAAATATCAAACTAACAATCAGCACATTTATAATTATAATTACAATGTCAAAAAAGTAATGTGAATAAAAAATTAATCAACATGCATAATAATTAATTCAGAGTTTTGATTATTGTAAATATTAAGCTGATGATTCAAATTAATTAATTATATATTTTTTGATTCATCAAACCTAGCTAGATTGATGTAACACCCTTGAAAACCACTGTATATTAAATATCATGAAAATCATGGAGCTGTTTCTGAGATACAAGAATTTCATTGAGTATTAAATGTAACATCAATATAAAGAAAATATGGTTTATGTTAGCAATATTAAAATAGTTGGTTTTCCTAATAAATAAAGTGATGATAAATAATATTTAAATATGATCTTAGATAATAAATAAGTTTATATTTTCTACTTACATAAATTTAAATTTTCAAGATCATATGTTAACTTATCTGAAAAACAAGACTGATCTAACTGACATTTTAACTGAGAATAGGAACTTGAATGAAACACCACTTCTAAGATATTCTGAAAATATGCACAGAAATACTTAATATTTTTTAATGTAACTTTCAACTTACCTTGTTAAATATTCTTCTCCAATATAAATCGGACCTTGTCGGCGTCAACGGTATAGAAATGTTGGTATCTCTTTGTTGACCAGAAGGCATTTTCACCCAAAATAAGTATTACACCGTGCGCAAACAAAATGTTATATTTTATAAAATTAGCACATTAGTCTCACAGAAACAGTGCAATGCAAGGACAAGACAGGATACTGTTCATTGTTAAATCATACTTCGAAATATGATAAGATAAGAACTTCAACGAATTCGATTATTTACGATAAGTTTATAGCAGGCAGGCTTTTTATTAAATATACAAAACTCACAACCAACAAACATCACCGTTATAAAACGACTGACATGACATGACGGACAAGTATATTGTTCTGTGGACGTGACACTGTCTGCCATCACTAGGGAGGCTTGATGATAATCGGTTTTCGATGACTATCGATGTTACATTAAATAATACATACATTGTAACATCGATGTCAGCAGGGACACAATCGAAAGATTATGTAGACATCATGTATAATTAACCGAAATCTATGAACGCTTCCACACACAGGAAGTAAACTATTATAGAAATACTATAGAAAAAATATCTTTATTTTGTTTTAGGAAACTTCCACTACGAGATTCATTTCGCCACCACAAGGATTGGCTGTCTTTTTGCCTATTGAAAAATATTAAGTACTTCTATGTTCTAATATTTAAAATTTTTAAATGTCGTTTGGTTATTATATTTGATGAACTTTGTATTCACAATATTATACTGAAAAATATTCTTATTGAAAAATGCTAAAAATATCCAGTCCTGGCACTCGTGAGATGGGAAAGTTTAAATATTTTAAAAATATTATTCGGCTGTTTGGGTGGGTAGACATTGATGAAAATATGCTTTTTAGTAGCGAAAAATACGTGGTTGTCCCATCTCGTAGTACCAACTCTGGGATGGGAAAGTTTAAATATTTGTAAAAATATTCTTCTGCTGTTTAGGTGGGTTGACAGAACATTGATGAAAATATACTCTGTAGTAGCGAAAAAGTACGTAGTTGTCCCATCTCGTAGTGCCAGGGACAACGTGAATTTTTAAGCAATTTTCTTGAAGAAATTGTCATTTGATATTATGATTACTTTATCTATTGCAGGTTGCTTTATAAAGTGAAAAAAATATCCATGTTTTAATTTGATACCGATTCCAATATATTGAATCCCAATTTACCTACTTTTATCACATCAACAACATAATCGGAATACACAATTTGTTGCACAGTACAAAATGATCATTGATTGTTGAGAACGTATTTTTTAAATAATTCCTCATTATCGAAACCAGGTCATGCACGGTATGCACTTTGCATTCACATTAACATTAAAATGTGTAGTCTGAATCTTCTATAGCAGAGTATGGGTATGTTCCGATATGCACTGCGACCACTGAACAGTATGACGTCAATTTAGTATACTGGAAGCCCGTTCCTTTATAGCTAGTTATACTGGTGACTTTTTAAAACGGAACGCAGTCCAGTGTACTGTTAATCCTATTTTTTTGCGCCATTTTCAAATTTGTTAATGCAAGGTGAATATAAATATAAAAATTCCCTTTTTACAAAAGAAAATTGTAAAATTGTATAAAAAGTTATTTATCAATTAAATCCATCTTATAAATAAACGTAAGTATTTTTTTTTGTTTATTTAGAAACTTATCATTTTCTGATTCTGTTTCGACTGATCACGTGATCAAAAGCACTGCGAGCACCTTACCTCGAAATCTCCAGTGCTCACAGTACAAATATAGCGGCAATTTATGACGTCATAAATTTCCCTAGGGTACTGTAGCAATGTACTGGCAGTCCATAACGGAACGGATTTTTCAGCAGTAAGACCACTGCGCAGTGCTCGCAGTGTATATCGGAACATACCCTATAGCAGCTATAAACGACTTATTGAACATTCTAATAAACAAATGATATATAAACTACCATCTCATTTTGACTAAACGGCATTCCCTGACCTAAAAAGAGATAATAGTATATTTGTCAGAATCACAGAAAATCGTCTTATATGCTGTGGTTAGAATCTTATCTGGCAGCATAATTACATAATGTTACTTTATGGTGCCCACTCTATGGATATTTCAGTCAGTTGTCATAGCAACCAACCGTTTCTCCTGTCACTGTCATAACTTCCAGACTTTTAGGACGAAATCCACGAAATCCTAAAATTGTATATGATAGAGGAATAATATAGGGTGGTTTATTTACAAATATTGTATAATCATTGTATATTTGAGTGTAGGTAACTGTAAAAAATATTACCTAAATAAATCGTTAAGTTTTTTTATTTACTATAACGTTACGTTACGTTTTATTTACAATCACTTAAATTAAAAATGCATGAATTTAAGCGCTCAAATAAGATAAGCGGAGTTCATTGGCTAAAGGATTCTATGGAAAATATAAAAGTTAAGTAAGTACATATATGATAAAAGATGATAGCTAAATAATTAGAAAGATCCGTAGATAGATAATATAAAAAATACATAATAGAACGCTAGCAACCTTATTAAATTTTGTTTAATAAATATTTCAGATTGAAACTCAAAACAAAAGAAAGCATCATGAGTCTCCCTAAATTTGAAGATTATACAAATGAGACAACAAATATTGAAGTTTTCCCAACAATGTTAGAGTATACATTTGCTTGGCAAGAAAAAAAATTCAGTTCATGGGAGATGAAATGGTACTCTGATCTTGATAATTGTACTACAGACACCCAATTGAACTATTATAATATGTTGAACATGTCAGAATATGAACCTTCAAAAGTATTCTCTTATATTCATGAAGACTGTTACCTCCCATTACCTTTAGATAATGTGCCTAAGCAGTGTGATATTATGAACCTAACTACTTGCTTCTCAAAGTTGAATTTAAATAAAATTGATAAAATGTTAAATACTGATACTAGTTCTACAGGCGAACTATTTAGAAGTCAAGAAAATATTGATTCAGTTGCTGAGAAATGGATGGCTATGCATATAGTATTTGATAATTCTGAATATGATGAGTAAGTATAATCTGTAAATAAATTGAGAAGTCCTACATTAGAGTAAAGGCTATTATAATAAAGTAGATGACCATTTTAAGGACTATACTGCAATGCATGTTATTTATGGCCTTTACTTCATTTTGACGACCTGAACAAACTGACCATATATGTGTACATATTGTTTATACTAATGTTATAAAATATGTCTCAAAATTAAAAAGGGTATGGCATACCATACACTATCTAATATCCACAAACTTAAACTGCCAAAACAGAGCCTATATTTTCTTTAACTCATTTTTAATCACTGCATTATTTCAGGGATTCAAATTTAATATTTAAACAGGAAGCGTTACTTGTATCTCTCTTCTACAATGTCATTGATAAATATCTTATCATCTCACCTGATAGTAATAATTTGGAAATGAATGCATATACTGTAGAAACAAGGAGTGGCATACCTTTGGAACATGAATATGCCATAGATATACAGTTTCAAGATGATGAAGGATGCTCTGATGAGTTGCTGACTTTTGTAAGTGTTTGATATTTAATATTCTATGTGTAAACATTAAAATGAGGACTTAATTTACTCAGTTCAAATCATTGGCAAAACAAATTGATAATGAGTCATTATTAATGACTGAAGAAAAATATAATTTGAGACATGTTGACTTATTTTGGTTAGTAGTTATTGTCATAAAATAAAACAGTATCAGTTTTGTAATCTAAGGCTTTAGTTTGATATTCATTTGAATGGTTGCTAGGAATTTGTAGATGACTTTAAAATGCCATTGTAAGTGGTGGTATTAGGCATGTGTGGATCACCAGTTCTACAGACCCCTCCCGTTGATGTTGCAACTAGCATTTCCCAATGCTATGAAATAGAGTATTGTGCTTTATCATGTAAGCATACTTAAATAATTTACAACACTAACAGAAGATGCTAAAGTACTAATTTTTAGGGTTCTGTACCTCAAAAGGATAAAACAGAATCCATAAAGGATCACTTTGTTGTCTGTCTGTCTGTCCATCAAGGCCCTTTTTCTCAGGAACACGTAGACCGTCACATGTTCCAATAGTCAGGTCTACTGTCGCTTGGAGTTGTGAAAAAATCAAACTTCTAAGCCAATGCAATTAAAAGATACAGCTTTTTAAGCTGCAAATTTCTGCAAAAATCAAAGTATTTGCTCAATAATATTTGATATGTTCAACAATGTTGCAAAACCATATTAATCCACCTTATTTTTGTGTTTCAAAATTCACAAGGGAATCAAAAACTACAGGGTAGAAGTAGAATTAGGAAATTATCTAACATAATTACATTTCAATGAAATCAACCTATTCCACTTTGAACATTAGCAATAGTACCATTCTGTCAATCAATAGGATACGATCTGTATACTGATCAAACTGTGGGGTAGGCCTACTAGGGAAACACGTTAAAAAAATGCGGCAACTACATTACCTCAGGTGGTGCGGAAATGTGTGCATATTATGTAGATTATTAATTTTTAAATCGTTAAAATCGCGATATCTCACGAATTCGTAAGAAAAAAGTATTAGAACAATCTTTGTAAAGAATTATATGATCTACAACTTTTGTCTGATCTATTTTTACGATAATACTTATGGTTTCAGAGACAAATAGAAATAACCTGAATTTATGACCTATGAGCTTCAATACATTTTTTTTTTTGCAAAAATAGGATTGATGGGGATTTTTGACATTTCATTAGTAATGGTTTATTAAATGTCTATACCAATTTTCAGCTCTATAAGAATTTTGTCTAACTTACAGGATTTTTTTGAAATTTGGTAACTCTAGTGCAACAATAAGATTTCTTAATGTGTGAAGGGCTTTATAACGCGTTAGTTGATTGGTAAAATATTGAAACTGTAAAAGCCTATTCTAATTTCTCCACAGTTAAAAAAATTGCAGAAGAAATGGGAGACAAAGCACAAGCATCTCTTGAATTTCTCAAGGCCACCCTTGGGGAAGAAATTACACTATGTGTCATTTGAAATACTCACTGCAAGTGATTTTGAAATGGATGACTTATATATAGAGTACAATATCAAGGTATGTGCTGTAGCATTAGCATTATCTGTAAGAAAAGGAAGGAATCACATAATTATACCAATGTTGTGACTCATGTTGCACGGGCGTTAATCTCATCGCCACAACAGTTGACAGCAAAATGAAGACCAATTTATTCTATAAAGTTGCTAGTATATTGCATCGCGTTTTCAAAGTTCCTACGGCAATTTAACATCTCAGTGTATTGACTGCCATTTGATAAGCTTTGGCAACTTTTAATACAGTATGTGAGTGCAATACATGTTCAATACAGTATTGAATGTCGAGTGCAATTCGATTGAAGCCAATGCCACCCAATTTCAAGCCAATGTAGTTATGCGGTATGTCGGCCGGTCCGGAGGGCTTGATTTAGCTGTAGATAGGTTGCTTTTTAATTCGTGTGTAATATTCTATTATCTGTGACGTAATGAAAGTAGATGGTGCAGTAAGTATTTACGTAATATCCTATTTTGTTAGGTACCAGATGAATTACAATGTACGGATTCTCTTCATGGTCGAACTCATATCACCAAAGCCTTAAGAACAGAAGACGCGCAGATGTGGAATTTTGGGCATCCAATTACACTGACTTTAGAAATTAATGATTCCTGCTCTGGTTTGTGTACTGTTGTTAATTTATTTATATATTTTATATATGCAAATTAGTCACTTCGTATTTCACATGGGTTGATTACATGCATTAGATAATAAGAAGTTAGTTAAAAAGATAAGTTTGCTGCACAATTTTTACTTTACAGAAACTGTGCACCGATTTCTATATCACTGATTAAGGTCTTCTTGTACCTTCGCTTAAGTTCCCTTACAAATGTGCATTGAGAATAAAGACGAGCTCGCTTGATTTCATACATTTTTAATTACAGAAAAAAATAAATGCATTTATAAAAAAAAATGTGATCGAAAAAATATATCAAACCTATTCTTGTATTTAATTTTTTATGGAGTTAAGTTGAAATATACTAGTCGTAAAATCGATCCAAAAACGTAATTAGAGGTATCTTTGCGATTTTCTATAGAGCCAATTATTGAAATTGTTTTTGTTTTTAGTAAGCAATCGATTATATGTTTAATTTCCACAAAATGATTTTTATTTAACAAATATTAGCATAGCCTTAGAATAAAATAAGTTAAAAAAGTGGTGATTTCGTATAATCTCGAATAAATTTTAGAGCTAGAGAAACGCTCTAGGAGCTTGAGAAAGAATGAATTTGATTCGACCCAATGTATTGAAATGACTCACTGTAGGTATTTAACAATAAAGTATTGAATGAACATTGAGTGCATATTGATTGAATCTAATGTCAACAAAATCGAAGTCAATTTGTTACGCGGTAGGCTTGCTGCGGTAGGGTTGGATGTTGGAATATGTTACATTGGCGTAGGAATTTAGGAAGCCGAATTCGCACGCTTAACTTTCAGCTCACTTAAGAACGGTTTGAGAACTTTCGAACGAGATTTTGTTAGTTATGAAACGCAAATACGCACGCGCTTAGCACGCTAGTCATTCAAATACTCAAATATTGATTATGCTTTCAGAGAACTTAAATCAGAAACGAAAAAGTGCTTAAGTACAGTTAAAGTAGGTATAGTTTGAGACGCTCTCAACTTCAAATTCTCAATTCAGAAACCGGATGTAAATATTGCACTTCAGCGCTACATTGTAACTGTAATAAGCTGTGAAATAGATACACGGTCGGTTTCTGAATAGAGAATTTAAAGTTGAGAGCGTCTCAAACTATGCATACTTAAACTGTACTTAAGCAGTTATTCGTTTCGGATTCAAGTGTACAAAATCTCAATAACTTAAGGTTTTTTACTTTTCACGTGGCAGAAAGTCCTAGTTTTATCAAGATGCTATCAACTGATCAGTAAAAAACAAATTGAAATCAGAAACGAAAATCTGTTTAAATGACGCTTAACATGGTTTAAGTACGGTTTGAGACGTGCTTAACTTTGAATTCTCAATTCAGAAACCGGGTGATAGCTGATTCAGGAGTCGACACACTGCTGTGTTGTATTGACACTTTTTCTGTTTATCGTCGCCAAGTTTATATTAATGCCCTCATTGGTGCTGGGCACTAGGGTACAAACTTTTCCCATGGAGAGGAACGCAGGCAGAACACGCAATATAACTCACGCATGCCCGGGCGTATTATGGATATTAACAACTGTTTGAAACGCGGAAAATTTTTGGTCACCCATCCTATGCCCGAACTTTGCAAAAGTTGCTTAAACCTCAACGCACTAAATATTGCGCCATCGGTCTGGGTTTCAATGTATATAAGAAATTATGAAATTTTCAGATACTCCATCCATCGAAATGTTCTTCGAAGTAATATCGACCGATTGGTGGGGTCGCCACCGTACAGAAGGCTATAGCTATCTCTCTCTAGCTTTCGAGCCGGGAACTCACGATAAGATGTTGTCCTGCTCTCGCCCCGAAGAGAGTGACAGAGTGGAAGCAGAGAGCAGACGTTTTTTCGTTGGCGGATGTCATTTGATAAAAGATTTGGATGTGTTAGCAAAGCCACATTTAAAGGTAATTAAAATAAAATTTACTATATACACTAAAACTTTTTTTTCTAATTAATATATTTTTTGTTTTAAAACGCCCTTTAGTACAAAAGGATAAATTATTATCTAAGACTATGAGATCATCCGTCGCTCTTTCATGACAGGATGCTTAAAGATTATAAATAGGTAATTTATAGCTGTATGAAACAGTTGTGTTAATAAAATTCTTGACACTGTGTGGCAATCAAATTTTTATTGAGTACATAATTTCTGAATTGGTATTTTTCAAATTTTATTTTCAAAATCAAAGTAAATGCCGTGATAAACAGTTTCTCGATAGATTTCTCTTGACATTTTTGTTATTGCTTTGTAATAAAAGCGGAAATGACTACGTCGGCGAATTTCCGAGAGATTTCTTTCGTGAAACGAACTGAGAAAAATTTATAGACTTCATTCAAATTGTTATACCATAGGTAACGATTTTCTTACTGATCAATTTACTACTAATTATATAATAATTAGTAAATTATATAATAATTAGTAAATTATATAATAATTAGTTGTTGATTGATTTTCGATAATTAATTAATATTAAAAAGAAAATTAAATTAGATGCCGTATTTCAGCGTAGTTTTTAAAATACTTATTTTTAAAATTACTGATTATTGACGTTTCTTTTTCGTTCCCTCATTTTTTTTTGGAATTTCCGATCTATTACAAAAGCATCAATCTTGTCAATCGGTTCGAATCGGGTTCTTTAAGATCGATTCAGGAAATAATCGATGACGTGAAGACATCGATCTAGTCTAATGTCGAACAAAAACTTATCATCTAAATTATTGGAGTAATGTCGAATTATTCCATGAAGAAAACCGTTAACAGATATAATTTATGTAAGGATTGCCGTTGTTTTCTAAGTTACGAGAAAACGAGGTTTCCTAAATCGATTCGTACTCAAAGATTTGATTGCGTGAAACTTGAAACTTATATTTCCAGTGATTATAGAAACTTATATTTCCAAAAGTTATACTTCCAGTGACCATATTAAATCTTTTAGGACGCAAATTTCGTGTACGTGACAACTGGGAGTATAAAAGTCCGCTGGAACGTGCTATCTCAATCCCCTACACACCTGGGCCATCTGGAACATCTGGGACAGCTAGAAACCAGCTCAATAATTCCCAGCACTTCCGCATCAGCCTTGTTGCGTGGTGCTGAAGCTGTACTAAGGCAATATAAACGTGCAAGAGCCAGACTAGCCGCTGCCACCAAAGACTTAGGTGGAAAAGGAGACCATGTAGAAAAAGGATAGATATAGTTAACTTTGTTTTCTTAAAAGCTGATGCTTTTATGGATTTTTTAAATTTATATAGAGTAAATCTCTAATTATATGAAGGAGACTAGAAAAACATAAAATAAATTTTAAGAATCATTTAGGAATTTCTTTAATGTTTTTAGTAGAAAAGATGTGAATTATCGTTTTATGTACAATCACTAAATTTATTTATTTAATGCTTTAATTGCACAAATGTATAAAATAAACTTAATAAATACGAATAAAAAACGAGTATTTTTATTTCACACTTGACTAGGTTTTTGTACTTACTTTACTAAAGTTCTTATGTGAAATTCTTAAAACATGAATGTACGGAGTAGTTTACTCTCTACATTCATATTTTAAGAATGGTCTCTCTACATTCATATTTTAATAACGAAACTTATATAATGGCACTTCAATGGCGTCCAATTAATAGCGTTTTCCCACTTCTTTATCTACCTGACGCTAAATATTTTAATTATAATAGTGTCATAAAAAAACAACGAAGACATTATTTTGTTAGTCTATGATTAACTAACAAGAACTGTGTCAAAAATTTGTTATTGAAACGCCATTGAAGTGAGAATTGAATAATGTATTAAAATTGTTTAACGTATTGTTTTTGGTAAATCCATGTAGAAAGATGGGTAATTCAAAATTGTTTTGTTGAATGAATGTACTTAAATCGTGTAATGGTCTCCTATGTGAAGTTGGCAGTATTGTGGTGACGTAAAGTGCCATTAAAGTTAAGAAGAAGAAGAACCCCTGTTCTTGAACACGCCGTGTAGATTCCTGATCATGGAAGATATTTGTTCCCATTCCTTATTCGATTATCCACTAGATTAGTTTAAAGCTGCTGCTTAGAGTTACTTAAAGTTAGATATGAAGGATTTCAACTATGGTAATAGGATGTATGTGTTACAAAAGAAATGTTAATAATAAAACTACGAATAAGGTAAATAAAGGTATAAATACAATTAACTAGACTTTGCCATCATTGTAGTCTCCTTTAACGTTTATATCTCCATAGATTATTGAAATAAATGTCCCTGCAAATTTTATTTATTTCAACTCTACAACACATATTGACGCGATAAAAAAAACATTGTTTATTTAGGATGTTACATCTTGCCACTTCGTATAGCATCTCTCAATTGTGCAGTGATAGAGGCTAGCTTTCTAGCCCTTCTGAGTCTGTTTTCTCTCGCTCTTGCTAATCGTGTTGCCCGCGAATCCACTAGTGCAGCTCTAGCTGCGCAAGCGGCTCGTCTCGCTGCGTCTAACGCGGTTACCTCTTGTCGCAATAAAGTTGTCTCCCAAGAGTTGAGTGCGTTTGATATTGCCACACGCTGGAATGAAAGTTAGAGAGTTTTTAGCAGGAGCAGTTGAGTGTTGTGAGATCCAGCATCCTGGCGTTTGTCGATAATCAAAGAAAAAAACAAAACACAATTGTTTAATAAATTATATGTACGTAGGGCACTAGATAAGTTTTGAGATTTCATACCTAAATGTTAGAGTTTTTCAAAATAATTTCCGTCGGCTGCATGCGTCGAAACCAATCATCAAAAATTTTCTTCCACACTTCTTCAGAGACTTCCTCACACGCCAAGTCCCAAGCTTGAATTAGTTGGTTATCACTGGCAAACCGTTGACCTTTCAGTTTATCCTTTATCATTGGGAAGAGTCCGAAGTCGCAGGGTGCGAGATCAGGACTGTAGGGAGGATGCTCAAGCAGAATTAGACCAGTGCGGCTCAAAAAATCTTGAGTGAGTTGAGCGCGATGTGCTGGTGCGTTGTCATGATGGAGCCGCCAAGTGTTAAGGCGTGAGTTTGGTCGCAGATTTTTGAGAGCCTCGATCAATTGAGGTAGACAAACCTCTGTGTACCATTTCGCCGTAACAGTCTTCTGTTCATCAAGACATATTCTTTTAATTATACCCCTTCTGCCAAAATAAACAACGACCATTTTCTTTTTCACGGATCGAGACTGTTTAACGACGGTGGGCTGTTCCTCATCTTCAAAAATCCATATCTTATTTTTAGATTTAGATTTGACGTCATAGTAATATAGCCATGATTCGTCACCTGTTACTATAGAATTAACATTAGGAGATTTTCCACCGTCGAACATAGCAAGCATTTTTTTACACCATTTCTTACGGCATTCCATTTGGGTCGCTGTCAAAAGATGAGGTACCCACAACGTGCAAATTTTTCTAACTTGAAGATGATCATGTAAAATAGTGTGAATTGATGGTGCACTAATCTTCAAGAGTTCCTCTATCTCCTTGTATGTAACGTGTCGATCAAGCTCAATTAGTTCCTTAACGGCTGCTACATTTTTTGAAGTCACTGTTTCGACAGCCTTCCTGAACGAGAATCGTCTGACAGATTAAAATCTCCTCTTTGGAACTGTTTATACCACCGATACACTGAGCTACGGGATGGAGCTTTCTCACGAAACACAAATTTTAATTCACTGATACAGTCATCAGCACTCAAACCCCGCTTGGAATTATAGAGCATAATTGCACGAAAATCACGACGCGTTAACCCTGACATTTTGAAGCAAAGAAAAATTCACAAAAAAGATTTGCGGGTAGCTAAAGATATTTTTTTATTTGATACTGACTACTAATTAGAGGCACTATTATCGGTGACAATTTGACGCATATACTTTCGACAGTTTAACGATATCTCAAAATTTATCTAGTGCCCTACGTAATATCTATGGTTGTTATTTCATTATTGTCTCATTCAGAGTGGTTATTATCTTACCGTAATAATCTATAAACTTGGGATGGCACCAGAAGAGGTAGAATTTTTAAAGATCATCTCATAGGGCTTCTACGAGATTAATCAATATGAAAAACGAATCATTACTTTCCATAAATAAATTCTACAATCTAAGCTACCTATAGCTTCACTGTTTTGATTCTATAACAACAACCTGTATTCTGCCAGTTAATTTGATGGGTTAATCGAGTCCCCTTAAGCTACGAACGATGACAAAATTTTAGAAAAGATTTGAATGAGATTCTGCATACATTACTGCAAATAATAAAAACTTTGCTTATGTTAAGGAAATATGAATTGAGGGTAGATACAGACTTGCGAAGCATCTCTCAGAAAAGCGTTTCGCCTTTTCGAGGCGTCGTTGGCACGTCGTTCAGTGTCAGCCAAATCCAGTATGCGCCGGCACTCTTCTGCAACACAGAGCCTTGTGCGGCGATCAGCGGCCAGCTGAGCACGGGCTTGCTCTTCTAAAGCTTTGTCGACTATCTCTGTAGCCTACAGGGGAAACAAAGTACATTAATTTTTATTAGGCACTAAATGAAACATGATTTTATTTGTCTAGTATTAGACTCAAATCAATGGACATCACTATTTATCGATTGTATTAAAGGAATAACTATCTGTTAGTGAGCTGTCACTTTGCCATTAACATTGATATGAGATTCGCGTTAAGTTCCTTCGGCGCCGACGGTGAATTATTGAGATAGGGCAAGGTGGGATCAGTGTTACATGGGGCACATTCTTACAATGCACCAGTGGCGGACTAATCTGGTTAGTCGACGGACTAACCGCTTAATAAGACGCCTGCTAAAACTACAAAATTAGACATAAGAAAGATATGCAATATAACCCCAATTTATGATTTGATTAAGGGAACTTGCAACCATTTCAAGGCCCTCCCCAGGACAAGAGGCCTGGGGCCCAAAATGCTAGTTTCTTTTATGGGTAGGTTTTAAAAGAAATTGGTAAGTAATCGTAATATGAAGACAGATCATGGTCTTCATACTCAAATAAATATGAGAGAAGTGACTCCAATGGTCGAAAATGGGATGAGTCTTCAAAAGGCAGCATATGAATAGAATATTATTTTCATGACGTAACAAAGATTTGTATAGGAGGATATAGCCCCAACCTCGCACCATGCGATTTTTATTTATTCCCGAAAATAAAAAAAAAACTTACCTTGTAACAATATGCCCACCTTATCCTAATGTTGGAATCAGTTAAAATATAAAATAAACCTATTAAACTATATAAGTTGTGTTTTAATACTAGATATTTTGACGGGTTCGATGTTTGGGTGTTGATAGAAAATGGAGCCGCTTATTAAGTAGGTATCTTTATGGTGTAAATAAAAAAAACTGCAACAACAAAAAAAAAATATTAAAACAGGTCCTATGGATTTTAGTTTGTAGGTACTTAAATAAAACAATTACGTACCCCTTTTCTAGATTTCCTTTTAAATATATCACTTATTTATAACACTAACTTTATAAGATATTCACTTTAAACATATTTGATTTTAACATATTACTTTTTTTTTATTTAAATCTAATGTTATGTATGTACTGGTTGAAGAATTTTCACGAACTGGGATTTAGAAAGAGCATATCGCGTTACTCAAAATTTCAAATTACGACAAATGAATAATATGAAAGAAATTATGTTATAGATCAAAGACAAAAAGTTTGAGTGCGGGAACCTAGGACAAAATTAAAGGAGTGGTAAGAAGCACAGTTACATCTTCACATCAGATCAGTCCCTTAAGAGGTAGGCAGAGTCTTTTTACAATGACTTTTTTTATCATTTCATTAAATGAAATGAGATTCGTAGATACACTCTTCATAGACATATTTGTCCGTTTTTATTTAAATATCGTTAAGTGGTGTTATGAGCTATTTATGTAAGGAATTATAGAATAGAAGAAGATGGTTTATCGTTCTTTTTAAGTCTGTTAAAAAAAGATCCCTACCTTTTTGTCATCCATGTGAGCAAGTAGTACTGCGCTCCGTTTTTCCTTATGCCTGATGCAGTCCAAAATTTCTGCTTTTCTGATATGCTGTTCTAATGATTTTTGCATATGTCTATACTCCTGCCAGGTTCTTTCTTCTTGGCGCTTATTGTGGAGATAGCGTCTATACTGGGCTAGTGTTTCAGCTTCCACCTGAAAATTAACTTGTAGGCACAACAAGAAATATACTTACATGGGTAATCAAAAATAATAATAACAATTCCCAGCTCGGCGAAAGACTATTTCCCTTTAAGGTACAATTTCAGCTACCACTATCAGTAGGAACACAAATATTTTTGGTTCCACAGCTCTTTTCAATGGACAAATACTTATTTATTTATTTAAGCTTTATTGCACAAATTAAAATGTACAAATGGCGGACTTAATGCCATGAAGGCATTCTCTACCAGTCAACCGGAATGTTGTAGAAGAGAGCTTTAAAAAAAACACGGTGCAACAAGAAACAGAGAGAAAAAAACACAAAGAATTTCAATGTGAAAAATTAAATAACAAACTACCGATATCTATGCATAAATTTACATATATATATATGTATATATATACAACATATATAAATAAATATTTATATGTATATAAACAAATAAAAATATATACTTATACAAACAATTTAACCACAAACCACAGAAGAATTCAATAGGTGTTCGCGCAGTAGTCGTTTGAAGGCAAGTTTATTCCAGAGTCGTATAGCTTGAAGCGAAAACGAATTGGAAATGAAACCTGTCCGGTGAGAAGGAAAAGAGAGAGTTTGTTTGCTGTCTGAACGAAGATTAGGTACGGCTGTGAGAAGCACCTAGATACTGAAATTTACATTTTAAATATCCAGGCGCGCACGGATCTTTAAGTATAGAAGATAGAGTGGATCCCTACGTTGGCGAATTGTTAGCCATTTCAACTTTTTGCTAAAAGCAGAGACATGATCATATTTACGAATGCAGAAAATAAGGCGAATGAAATTATTGAGTAAACGATCCAGTTTGTTTAGAAGTTTCTGCGTGATGTCAGCATAACACACATCAGCATAATCAATGATAGGAAAGATTATTGATTGGACTATGAGGATTTTGGTGGAGATGGGAAGGAAATTTATGCCATCTGCCATCAAATTTATGGCTATGCAATCGATTTGCAAATCTAACCAAATGTTCGCAAGAACAAACCATTTGTCTCTCTTGCTTCTCTTTCTGCCACATCCTCCTGAACTGGTCGGCAAGCCGTTCCCTCTCATCATCTATCTCTCTCTTACGAGCGAGCGTCGTGAGAAGTCGTAAGTCGTGCTCCGGTATAGAATCTAGCACGTCATCAGTAATGTCCTCATATTCGTACGTCTTGATCAGCTGTGATATTGCGCTTGGTTCTGGAATTTAAAACAATCACTTAACTTATGTGTAGTTATTGTAATAAAAATACGACATATGTTTATCATACACAGGTAGCGTTGCCAGGCGTCCGGATTAAGCCGGACATATGTAGGTTTTTTGATTTCGTATCTGCCCAAATTAAATGGTCCGGCTTTTACATTTTGCAAACGAGCGAGCACAGAGAGTGATAGAGCGCAAACGACTCGACTGTCGTAGTAGGTACCTATTAATACTGAGACACAAAATCCTCAATAATATCGGGTGTCTAGTCTTTGTACCCAAATATTCGGCCAAACTGGCTAGTCTGTCCGGCTATTATACACAGGGCTAAGCAAATAGTCCTGCCAACTCTATAGACAGGGCTAAGCAAGTTATGCTGCCATATTCTGGAGTGAAATACCCAAATAGTGGGCAATTTTGGTAATTATATGGATATAAAACTTGTAGCCGGTATTTTTCAATTGTTTACAAGTTAAACTACTTTGCAAACTTATCGTAAAGTAAATAATAAGTTGTCAACACTGATAATAAACGCGATGGGCCTAAAAGGTCGTTTATTCAAAAATAATGTAGATACAATTGAAAACAAAGAACTAAATTAGAAATTTTGTAAAATAAAACCTACCTATTAATATAAAACTTAATATAAAAATTAATATAAAAATAGGTTGCCTGGAAGAAATCGCTGTTAAGCGATAAGGCCGCCTATTGTGCAAAAGTTTGAAATGTTTGTAAATTACTCTTTATTTATTTCTGTTGTGTGTTGTACAATAAAGTGTTTTTATCTTATCTTATAAAAATATCAGTGAAATACTAACAAAACCTATTTCAATTAAAACATATCTTCTCCTTTGTGAAATACTTTGGCAATTATGCTGCGTCAGGAATTTGCAATTATATTCTATGGAAAAGACTGACGTGTTCATATAAAATACTTATAGTTGAGTACATTGTAATTAAACTTTAAAAACACACGATTAGTCTTTCTTCTATTGATTGACTAATGGCTCCTTTCAAAAGAAATGCACGCAGACGTTGCAGATAGAATTGTTGCAGAAATTCTTGCTAGGTAGGTATATCTAACTAGCCGTTACCCTGCGTCTTAAAGTCAAATATCAGCGAATGTCGCGAAGGTATATCATACCTTCCCGAAGTGAAAGAATTATCATCACCGGATCACTATTTCCCGCAGATTACCCCAGCAAACAAAGAAACAAAATTAGTAACTGTATCTTTGTTACTAGGTGATTACTTGCGATTTTGGGTAAATTTTAGCATTTGGCAGCTGTGTATGTGTATCTAGATTCCCTTAATTTTCATGATCAGATCAGTATTTATGAAGATTGCCCGCTACAAACAAAGTTTAAACTTTATCTCTTTATAATGTTAAGATAATAATATAATATTTAGCTAATACTAAAAGTCGATGATAAAAATATGGAAGAGGTTGCGAATCTAGTTCCAAGTAGATATGATTAGAATATTATTAAAATAAAAGAGTTGATAAAATTTCATAAAAATAATATGTTGATAATGTAAACACTGATTAATGTATGTGAAGTAATGTAAGTGATTCTATCGACTTGCCATTGGTGATGATCGATTTTTTCGTTGGCGATGTAGCCCCCGAACGACGAGGCGTCTCAGTTATTATTTTATAACAAAACACCATTATTTATAAGAAAATAACAATAATTTGAGAAAATAATCGAAACTGCTACTAATAGATATTTTCAAGAAAGTATTCTCATTTAAATATAACAATACATATTCACTGTGAAAATTATTATGTATAGACTACAAATATAGACAAATTAAGTGTTCAAAAGTAATTTATATACAAAAAAATTGGCTTAACACTTGTCATAGATTTTCGATCATAAACTCAATTGTTTTGAACTGCTATTAAACTATCTGGGGTCACACTTTTCGAGTCACATTAATAATTTTCTAAGACTGCCCCGAATAAGTTGAAGCTGTTGTTTTTGTCTATTAAGTATCACAGAAACGTTTTGTACAGTTGTGTATAGTTTGGAAGGTTGCTAAGAACCGTATTGATTAAATTACCTCGGACGTAGTACAAGCCCACCATACATTGAAAATGTATGGTACTAGTATAAAACTTATTGAGGAGTTTATTTGTATTATTAATTGAATTAAAAGAAAAGTTTAGGTAAGGTCCTATTGCTTCGTCAATGGTAAAAACACCATTGAGCATTTTACAGTACGTCACAGTTATACATCACAAAAGGTTTCCTTCTCTTACTCGAACCCGTAGAAGCATATTTTGTGAGTTATATTAATCTTAGACAATTAACTCAATTTCTAGTAAATACTGAAATGACCTTGTATAGCCAAAAAAAAAGATGTTGCAGTAAAATTTAAAACCGAAGAACTATCAGTTTGTCGGGCAAAAATAAATTGATAATAATTATATAGATACGATCAAACACACAATGCAACAGGTGGTTGTACTGAATTCAGACAAATGTGCTTAAACCCTTTATGACAAGTAACTTTTTCAATGGATAAGATTACGAGATAGCTTATCCTCAAAGATAAAGTTATATGAGCAATGTAAGTATTAACTTACTCTCTATGACGAAAACTAAGTCAAAATCTTGTGATCCGAAAATTACTAAAATTACATATCTAATTTTTCATTAATAAAATCGTCAGGGCCATGATGCATTTAACAAAGAACAGTGTAAGAACGCAAACAGAAACCAAGAAGAGCTTAATCCACTTATCATTATCAGTGATACCGTGGAGTGGCTTGTTGATAAATCAGTCGAAAACGCGCTGCGATACGGCGATGACGATCGCCGACGCCATGGACAAAGATAAGCCGCGACCCGCAGTTAAGAGACCAGACGTGTTGAGAAAACTCAACGCGGAGAGTCTCCTTATCTTAGAAAGGGGATTAGGTGAAATACCACAGAAACTTAGACCTAAGAAACCACCCATACCCGTCAGGGGGAATTCGACTCAGCTTGTCGTAAGAGAACCTAGTTTCTTATCCTCCTGCTTACCAACAATCCCACAATCGCCAACGGTTGACACACCACCATCGGCGACATCGTCGGAAGATGAAAGGATTTCACCTATAAAGAAGAGCTTCAGTTTTCGCGACAGATTATCACGTATGAGTATATTTGGAAAAGACAAAGATAAAATGGATAAGCCGAAATGTAAAACCATCATAGAGGATGAGAAACATGAAGTTAAATCCCCCGGCAGTACCACTAGAGCGTTCAAACCTGATCATCATGACCACAAAAACAGTAAACGTTTCTGGTTTTTCAGGAACAAAGAAATCACGGAAAAGAAACGTCAAATCCCTGTGTACGTTAGGAGTAAGAGTTTCGAGTTCCTACCGAGAGCGGCCGAGGAAACTGAAACTGAGAAAAAGCCTGACAAATCCAAACGGACTCTGAAGCACAGTCTGTCTTACGTGTTCTCTAGTACTGATTCGCTTGACACACTATCCAATGAGAGTTCAGAATTTCCATCCAACGTTTACTACGACAACGACGATAATGTATTCCTTAAAAGTGTCAAAGAGTTTGCATCTGAATCGTCGACTAACAATTCCAGCATGTCTATAGTAACATCCACATCCAGTGGTATAGCTGTCAATATGTTCAAGACCCAATCGGTTCAGGATATTATGGACGAATTTCATAAAGCCGTGGAGATGTTCAGTGAAAGTTATTTGAGTGACAGTGAACCTTACACTAGGACTGGTCAAAAAAAAGAAAAAGTCGCGGTTAGAAGGAAAAGTTCTTCCTTCAGTAATATACCGTCCCCAAAAATTATGCAAGTGAACAAAGTGGATGATATCAGTGAGGATTTTAAGAAACAGTTAAGCAAAGCTTTGATAGCCAAACGTGAGAGTGGTGGTCTTCATATGAAGCCTTCTCCATGTAGGCGCGGTTCAGTTACCGATTGGTTCGTTTTAGAAGACAAAGCGGCTGCAACAGCGGCTGCGCATGAAGATAACAAATACAGAAGGGCGCAGAAGAAGCCGGTGAATAGGGTCAGAAGAATCAGCTCCACGAAATACGTAAGTATTTAGAATTTCCTTATCTTATTCGTTCTGAATATATATATATTGTGTTAGATGACGTTGAAGAAGCTATTTTGTAACCAAGAAATCTTTATACCTATTGGTTATCATTTTCATATGTGACATTTTCTGAATGATAAACAATAGTTACAATAAAGGTATAGTAATATTTTACATACTCTGTGTTTATAATATAACGTTTATATCAAGTTTAGTATCCTTAAAACATTTAACCTGTTACCACAATATATCACATATACTTATGATATTATGATATTGACCACTACCCTCTATGTGCTGAGGTTTAAAATCTACAATTTGAGAATACCACAATCATATTTCTAAGTGCTCTGTCTGTCATGGGGGCAATGAGATAGACAGAAACAGTATTTTGGCTTAAGCCTCCTCTTAACGAATTAGTAAGACATGAATGTTGCACCACAAAATAACTATCTGATTTTATACCTAAATGCATGCATACGGTACGGTTGAAAATCCACTGGGGAACTTTTTTATTATAAAACAATACAGTATTTTCGATTTCGATAATTGTTCAACTACCTTAGGCCCGTGAGCTATCCAATAAAATTTTTGAAAATAGACGTACAATATTCAGAATAATCAGTGATTTTTACTTATTGATATTATTGTTCTAAGAAAAGCTTAAAATAAACAGATTTTTACAAGTGGCTACACATCAATGTAACTGCCACATTCTTTATCTCGCTTATCTCAATCGATAAGATAGAAAAAAACATATCTCAAATTTAGGTATATTTATCACTTTCAATATTATGCCTTCATAACAATGATAATATTTAATGTTATAGTAATATAGATCGAAATTTTTGCAAGTCTACTGTATTTATTTATCATTAATTGATTAATGTATAATCACAGAAAAAAATGTCTTGCCACAATGTAACAGAGCGCGAAAAGCCACAAGTCTGTTTATCTCATTACTCGGCAAATGATGTATAGAGAATTGTTAGGTTAGATTTAGTGTTCGACCGACCGTTAACGCTAACATCGGTCGAACGTACCTATATTCATTAAAACATATAAATGGCTAACAGTTCAATACTGATTGTAACCTACGCGAGTACAGCTACGTCGCGTTGACGGAAATCATCTGTCGAGCTCGTCGGTCCGGCGTACATACGTCAGCTGACGCGTTATAGCGTGTTTTCAGTACCACACCGACACGCAGCGACCGAGACTACGCGCGTCTACATCGTAAATTAAATGAATATCGAATTCGATACTGAGCGTGTCATAACTGAAGTACATATTCATCTGCCATTGAGGGACCTTTATAGTGAGTTATATAAATAGTACGCCCGTATTATGGAGGTAACAAATGAATTCACTTTTCTTTTTAACTATATACGTTCGCGTACATCCGTCATCAGTCGAGCACATACATAACTATATTGTTAGTTAATAAAAAGCTTGTAACAAAAGAACCAACATTATTGAAAGTATAGTATAATAGAAACAGGTGGTAATCTTGACCAACACCTAAGTGCGGCTAAGGCCTTGGCATTTACAGCAATTCTGTATCCTAAAGGGTAAAACACACCTTTAGACTTTATGAAATAGGTCTTGTTGGTCACAGAGTCAAATATTTGCTATATAGCTTTGTTTGGTCCCAATTAAACATAGGTATACTTAGGTATACTTCTGTTTTAAATAAATAGAATTTGTAAGAGTAAATAAAAAAATCAATAATTATCTTAAAGAAAAGAAATTAATCTCTGAGAGGATTTAAAAAAAGTTCTCTGAGAAGATTTTTAAAACCTTTCAATCCGGGGACTGACCTAAGCTACCCGAGATACACCGAGATCTAACGACTGACCAATTTATCAAGCACTTGCTGCTTTTACTAAACAACTCAATTCAACTAAACAACTGAAACAAATAGGTACTAAAGAAAAACCCTGTAAAATGTTCATCTCCATTGCTCGATAAGAGATTATGAAACCCACAACATTTCGCTACTCTGCGGACTGTTCGAAACCTATATTAAATAGTATTTACTTGTTATTGTGTAAAGAATATGCTTATTAAAGTAATAACATCGCGTTTCGACAAGAATAGAACAATGTTGACAGACGACAATTCCTGTGGTGCGCACGCGCAGGTGAAAGGCCTTTCGTTCCGCACTGAATGTGGATTGGATACCCTTGTACAGTAAAACCCAACAAATATAACGTCTCGCGAATCTTCGTTTGCCCAGACTGTATTAATTCTGATGATGATCGAATAGCATCATATGATGAAAAGTTGTAAACAGTCTTGTTTTAATAAACCGAACGTGTCAAATACCCCAGATTTCAATCTGAGTCATACTCGGAGGTAAGTTGCTAATAATGGCTACGGGGTAAATTAAATTGTGAAGACTTGGTTAACCGGTTAGCCAAAAACTTTGCCGATTAGCCAAAATGGTGGCCGGTTAGCTGAAATTTACCGCTTTTTTCTTGGGCACTTGAGATGGGTAAATATCGATATTACATTGTGAATGCAAAATTAATCAAGTTTTATCTTCGTTATACTGTTCTTCATGCTTGAGAAATATAAAAAATATGTATGACAGGAAATAGCTACATATTTCCACCTGAGGAAACGTTACTGCGCAACACAAACGATAGACCGGAGATAAGATATACAACAGATAAATATTTAGCAATGCTTACGTTTAGCTGTTTATTAAGAGGTCTATTTCATCTATGTTAGTGCTAAAGCCAAAATATTTGAAGTAGGCAACGATTAAAATATATTGGAAAATCAAATTTGCATACATCGAATTTTTTTTCGAACGAAGTAACAATTCTAGGGGTCCCCAGAAATCGTTGTTGTTTTCCTAGCGCTCCATGAACAAGAAAATATATTTCCTTTATCTTTGCACATTTAAATTTAAGGTTTTGCGTAAAGATAAAAAATTTCGTCACAGGCGCACCATTAGGCAAAAAAACTATTTCATTAAGTATTTACTAATTATGTATTTAAATATTGGTAAATCAAAATAAATCAAAAACAAGACAGCTTGCTACTTGTTACAATTTTGGTGGCGTGAAGCTTAATGAAGTTGAAGTGATTCGAGACCTTGGTGTCAATGATAGTGTTAAGTGCAGCTAATTTTCTTCAGTACAATGCGATTGTGCACATTTTTTTTCACGAGCTATTTATACAACTATATCACATCTTCATCACATATCTCCTCATCGCTTTCTAACCTAAATACACTAATTGTACTAATGGCGACCCGACACAACACCGCGTTATAACCGACAGTTTTCCGCTAATTACTTCGCATAGACAATCGTGTCACATACGCAGTTACGTTGTTAACTCGTTATATCGTCTGTGACGCATTTCTAGTTCATTTCAATGGCTACCCGATTTACATATTATCATTGCTTAATTATCTACTTTAACTGTCTTATTATCAAACGATGACTTACTTTTGTTACTGAAGTTAATTCTTATTTATAATAAGACCGTCTAACATATCCTTTAGTGGTTACGTTGTTGTTTCATTCAAAGTAGTAAAATCAAATGAAATATCGCCATAACATCGCTAAGATGTCGTATCTTATGGCTAGAGTTTAATTTGTCGACGCAAATAATTAGCTTGTATGGTGTTGAAGAAGTTGTGAAGGCAGTTTAAAAGGTTCTCTCAAATGTCGCAGTTTGTCTCTCTTATGAAGCGGAAAATGTGCAAGTTCTTGATACACGACTTTGACGACTTCTGCGACATGGGGCTCGGCGTTGTCTTGAAAGAAGTATGGTTTGGCCTTAACGATGGGGTCTTTCGGTCAAGTAGCCTCTTTCACGCAGTGTAGCTGGCAAGCGCGGTTCCAGGATTTGGTTTCAAATCCTGGATTGGTTTCAGGAGTCAACCTTTGGGATACAGAAATACATGTATTTCGAATATTTACCGGTGTAGCGTCCCGTACCTGTCTCACCAACTGCAGATTATGGTATTATTTGGGTGCTATTCCTTTTTTTTTACGTAGGGGAAATGCAATCATGCAATCTTAAACCAGGGCTCTCCGACCTCGCACCCGTCCTGAAAAGGACAGGCTTCTTTATTAGATTCTTCTATATATGACACCATTAAACGTCCCTGGCTGCTATAGCCACTCTTTAACCGCGAAGAAAAGTGACACAAGAAGATAGAAAATCGCTACTAGTTAATCAACCTTAATACATCATTCGCGGGAGACATAGGCTATAATTTATGCGGACGCAATCGCGGGAAAGTGCCTAGTTTTTATACAAAATACGATTCAAGGCGGAAAACACGTGACAATTAATGAGTGTCACTTTTTCCGTGTCAGGAGCATCGCGACCAACAATTAGGTGATCATTTTTAAATACAGACTTACAAGCGACGGAAGGATGAGTAATTGTCGAGTGGACAAGTTAACGAGGGAATATAAAAAAAAAACGACTAAAATAAATGTCACTAGATAACAGCACTATATTTGCAACATCGTCACATCGTCTCCAGCCTTTTAAAGTCCCACTACTGGAGCTTAGGTCTTCCCTATGGAACATAATCCACCATTCCGGGCCCAGAGCTGCTTAGTAGGAAATCAAAATAATAAATTTTGGCGACATCTTGCAAATTGCAGTTATATTTAGTCTTCGGTTACAAAGTGGCTTACGTATATTTCTCGTTTTATTCCTTTAATAAAGAAGGTATTTAAAAAGATAAATGTAAAAAAGTGAATTTTAACAGTTCGATATTTTCCTTCCGGGCCCAAGACTCTCCTGGAGGACATCCCTGGGAGTGTCATGGGAACTTTAATCCGGACCCTTGGCTTTCTTAGTCTTCAAATCTATACAACAGTGTACCAGTGGTTTCAAAACCCAAACTGTCCGTCCGTCTGTCACCAGGCTGTATCTCATGATCCCTGATAGTCAGACAGTTTAAATTTTCAAAAATGACGTATCTCTATTGCCTTTACAACAAATACTAAAAATAGAGC